GCCTTTACTGGAGCCCTGTTCGGCTTTCAGAGTTGGGAGGGGGGAGGTGCTCCTGGCACCTAGTGGGTAGAGGTCCAGAGGCTGAGACCTCCTGCAGTCACAGGCCACCCCCCCCCCCCAAAGATCAATCAGGTCCCAAATATTGTGCTGCCATGGAGGGACCTTTGCTTGGGCCCTATTTTGACTTGTGAGGGACCTTAGTTTAAAAAAGGCACTCTCCAGGCTCCTCCGGCYTCTGCTTACAGGCCTCAGGCAGGAGCACAGGACCAGGGAAGCTGGGGAACAGCTGGGAGGGGCGGGGCACACTGAGCATCCCAGGAGACTAGTCCTGTGCCCTCAGGGCTCAAGCCGGAGGATGACTGCACAGTGACACCTGCCACGTCAAACTTCTTGTAATTTGTCTTTAAAATGCCTTTTATACATTCCTTTATAAGCAAAATATTTCTCCAAACAGATTCATCAAATATTTATCTAGGTCCTTAAGACCAAAACTACAGGATATATTTCCAAGTCCAAATTGCACTACTCAAAAGGGGTAGGAGCGGCGAATTGTAAGATCATATACTCTGAGTTAGAAACTGGTAGCAAACGCCAGATTTGCTATTGAAATGCAGGATCATGGGAATGTCCTTTCCTAGTCCCAGAGGCATTTCAAACAGGCTTTGGAAACAATTCATGGTGACAGACAACAGTTATGATTAAAGAAAAACCCAAAGAGTAAATATTTTAATTTTTTGAGTATTCTTAATTTCATATTTTAAATACACACTAACAAGATACATTTCCACCAAAATACTTGTATCATATCAGTATTCTTGTAAGTATTCACATCCATAATTAACACAATTAGGATAATTAGGAAATTTAGCAAAGACAGTAAATATCTACATGAACGTTCTCATCCTTGTGGTGATTCAGTCTCTAAAATAAGTCAGGCTGGATCTACATAAAAGCTGAATTTGGTGTYGCTTCCAAATTTCTCCTTGAGAAAGCCTGAGTGAGCGGCAGGCTACAGAGGGCAAGCCAATCTACCAGAAATCGGGAGWGGCCATCCACAGCTACAAAATGCAGGTGAAGCAGCAGAGGAAACACACTGGGGGCTGCTATTTTGATCCCCCAGGCAAGAGTGACCCTGAGCCAGTGCCACACACCCCCCTGCTCTGGACACAGCAGCACTCGGGCACTCACTAGGAAGCCAGTGCCTGAAAGCCGAATGGCTGTCCAAGGAGGAATTACATCTCCAACTCCTTCGCCAACATCCAAAATGTGAACTGACACTCAAATTTCTCATCCCCAAAGAGGCCTATGGTGGCATTTTATAGGACTGCCTTTTCTGTCTTCAGTTTGCAGACAGCATGACAAAAGGGAAGTAATTCCTCACTAGAAGTAGCTGCCTTGCAACTGGGCATCACATCTATTAAAGGAGCAGCTTGCCCTACACCAATCTTAAGCACTGAGCTAAAAGCAGGCAGGCCATGAAGCACAACTTTTTTTTTTTTTTGGTACCAGGGATTGAACCCAGGGGCACTTGACCACTGAGTCCTTTTTGAGACAGGGTCTCACTAAGTTGCTGAGGCTGGCCCTGAACTTGAGATCCTCCTGCCTCAGCTTCCTGAGCTGCAGGGATTACAGGAGTGCATCACCAATCCCTGCTTGAATGTGTATTGGATGCCAGTTGCTATACCCATCTGATGCATTTGCAGGTCAAAAATGAGTGTGCACAGTCTCTTATTTTCAAGGTACATTGGCTATCCTCATTATAAGAGGCAAAATAAGCCAATCCCAAAGAACCAAAGGCTGAATGTTTTCTCTGATATGCAGCTGCTAATTCACAATAAGGCGCGGGGGGAGAACAGATGTATTTTGGACTAGACAGAGGGGTGTGAAGGGAGGGGAGGGGGCCTAGGGATAGAAATGATTAGAATGAATGGGACAGTATTACCCTATGTGCATACATAATTACATAACCTGTGTAACTCTACATCACAAACAACCAGAAGAATGAGAAATTATACTCCATTTATGTACGATGTGTCAAAATGCATTCTACTGTCATGTATAGATAGAATTTAAAAATATATTTTAAAAATCAGCTCTTCTCTCTACTGCTGCAGGTGAGGCCAGGGGATGTGAAGGGAAAGGAAAGAGTGTGCACCCCATGGCTCAGCACATTAACCATAACCTCGGGAATTCACTCCACACAGTCATGAGAAAACGGAAGCTGAGTGCTTTTTTTTTTCTTTTTTAAGCCCCCATGGGCTGGGGATTGAATCCAGGGTTCACACATGAGGCAAGCACTCTATCACCGCGCCACATTCCCAGCCCCAGCTTTTCACATATACAATATTTACATTAATGTTAAGAAAATTAATAGTTAATCCTAAAACCATTTAGTGAAAATGTAGATTCTGCATTTAAAATTCAACTCTTCCATTGGTGAGAACACAGGTACCAAGGACCCATGTCAAAGGGCATCTGAGGTTCAACAGCAATTCCCTAAAAGCCAGAAATATTGCAACAGCACTTAAAAAGTGGCACATGGCAGGGGACAAAAACCACTGGTCTTTATTACTATTTTGCCATGGTAGGCATGCTGCTCCTTGGATTTTTTTCTTAAAGTGACTTTTGCATATAAAAACATCAGTGTTAAATATATTCACTCTAAGCAAGAACCAAGTTGTACCCAAATTTCATTAAAATGAAAGTCTACTGCCACWGGATCTGAAAGAAACAGTTTTATCTATTGTCAAAGGCCAACGTTCAGATGAGCATGGTGGCGCACATCTGTAATCCCAGGGGCTCGAGATGCTAAGGCAGGAGGATCGCAAGTTTGAAGCCAGGCTCTACAACTTAATGAGACCTTGTCTCAAAATAAAAAGGACTAGGGATGTTGCTCAGTGGTTAGCGCCCCTGGGTTCAATCGGTACCCCCCCMMAAAAAAAGAGTTCAATAGATGTTGTACTTGTAAATACCAGCAACATGGGAACACATAGGAAGGTAAAATTGGTCAGTTCAAGAGAAATACATGGCTATGGCTATGGTGTGAGCTGCCTACTTGTAACACAGTCACCTCAACAGCACTGTGGGAGTCTATGGCTCCTAGCAGATCCTGATGGAGCTTGCTTACCTGGACTCCTGGGGGAGACCTGCAAGGGGCTCAATGCAACAGCACGCGTCAAATCCCGACAACACGCAGGCAAAGTGACAATTCAAAAGCATATCACTGAGAGCCTGAGATATGGAGTAGCCCACAGCTGCACAGGGTGTGATGTGACCAGAGTCACAGTTCCCACTCAAGGTCACCTCCCAATGTAGGGGGCACAGACACGTGCCACCATTCGCACAGGTGCACACAAATTCCCATTGGGCTTGGTCAAAAGAAACCTTCACTCGGAGAACTAAGTGTGTTGGCCAAGTCATCTGCTTGGTGGCTTGCAGATCCAGCAACTCAAGGATCCTGCTGCACACTCCTCACTGTGTCCTCACACCGAAGTCTGGAAAGACCCTCTTTAGTAGGAGATAGTTAACATACACATGTTCAGATACAGACAGGCCCTCTACAAACAGCTCAAGGGAAGAGCATTTTGGCTAAACTGACTATGAACAGACCCTTGACACTGAATCTCTGAGAGACATAGTTTTTGTTCCAGTCAGTGATCCCACCCAAAGCGGAGCAGGAGGGTGGGACAGAAGGCAGTGCAGAGACCCATCAAAAGGACATATGTGTTAATGAGCTTTTCAACTAAACCATTCACAACTCAAGGGCAAAGAAAAGGATAATTATTTCCCCCATATTACATTTAATTAAATTGAAGTATAACTATGGATTAAGAGATTAAAGATTTTAAAGTTTGATCCAGTGTTTTTCAGCTTGATTAATCAGGTAGCGTACACAACATGGTTTATTTTAAGGCAAACAGAATACTGGAGCTGGTGAGCAAGGCAACAAAATACACCCCAGAGGCTGGACTGTCATGGTGGTACACTGTGTCATCACCTTAATGTTGGTCAGGGCCAGGATATGTGAACTGTTAATAGGGATAGAGTTACAAATGATTCCATGATGCTCAAGCAGGTAGTTGCAGGTAGTTACTGAGCATTGCCTTTCTAAGTTTTTCAGCAATAAAAAGGAAAAAAAGTAAATTTAAATGCTATGTAACACCACTTTTATGAATTCTGAATGTGTGGATTTTTGGTTTGCATTGCCTCCCTGTTTACAAATTTAGAGAATAAAATTGATTTAATTTCATTTTCTGACCCCCCCAAAAAGAAAAAACAATTCCAAAATCCAAATTCACCTTGACAATACTCCCCTGCAACCCCTCCCACATATTAGGAATGAGAAGCTGGATGACAATACTCCACAATCAGGGACCTTTCTCGGTCCTTGGGGATCATTTACTTGATAACAACCACAATCAATTCTGATTAAGTACTTCCAAATATTTTGGACTAAATCAAAGTACTGCATTTACAAATATGCTCTATGAAAAGCAGAACAGTCATTAAAGCATAAAACAATTTTATCTTTAAATAGAAAATACTTTATTCATTCCTGACAGGTTATYAAAATGTACACTGTTAACCAAATAAAAATGGTACTCTGAATTAGTTGACTAGGGCATATGTTTTGAGGATTTTTTAATTTAATTTTCAAAGAGTAAAAACTACTTCCAATCTCCCTTCCCACACATTCTAACAAGCTTGYACTATACCTGCTTAAATTAAACAAACAATTACATGGGCCCAGTTCATTACAGAATGCACGTTTCCACTTTCACTTAGAGGAAGCTACTGCACTTGGGTATTTCGGTCTGCCAGAAGCTCTCAGGCATGTTTACTCCTCTTCGTGTTTTGTGTAACTTTGTAAATGACAAAGAATAAGGAATAAAGAACATGACTTGTATTAATCTACACACACACACACACACACACACACACACACAGGATAAAGTGCAACAGGACAAAATATGTCTGTGACTTCACTTTTTCCAAGCTCCAGAAGGCTCTTCCGAGTAAATGGGACGAATGCTGCTTTGACACCTCAAGTGTGGGGAACACCTAACCCAGCAGGGTGACTTGTGTTTTCACACTGGTATCATATTAAAAGCACTATTTGCTTTGCGTCCCCTGGGCTTCTCTCATTCTCAACCAAAGTTTTGAAGCTGTGTTTCTTTCTAAACCTTGAGAAAAATTAACTACATAAATAGAGCTACATAAATAGTGCTTTAGAATGCTCCAATGCTTTTTGAGCACTCTATGCTGTAAAAGAAGGTTTCCAATGAAATCCTGTCTACAACAAGGAGAATTATAGTCATTTTAATAAAAGTAAGCAATACACTAACTTGGCAGCAAATGCTTTAACAATCTTTGACACCAGCCACCAAACGCTTCTATAGGCAAATACCAAACTAGTCCTAAATATCAGAATTTTTGGTTGCATGTTGTTTTGACGTTAAATTATTTAACTAAAAAAAAAATGCTTTTGTTCCTGAGATGAGCACGATAAAATAAATGAGTTCCCTCTGAAGCTGCCACTGAGGCTCTATGCTCCTTATTCCACCCTTACTCTCCTCACAAGGAGTCTCGTTGGAAATGCCAGTCCTCCCCATGGCGCCATTTCTGTGATTCGTCTTGCCGAACATCTGGTCTAATTTGGTTTCTCATGCCACCCAACACGTTTGATGTCGCTTCGGTGGCAACAATCAGAGGTTTCACCACTGCTGGGGGAATCTGGCGCAGGACTTCACCCACGGCACCGGTAACCCCTCTGCTCTCATGTTCTCGAGCTGCTGTTTCATAAATGGTCTGAGCGGTGTCTGTGATTCCCTGGGGGGGGGGGGGGGGGGGGGGAAGGGGAATAAATTACTGGTCAGAAATCTGAATTATCCTATATTGTACACTTTCAGTATAATAACATTATATTTATAAGTAGACAAATGATTGCTTTTTTGAGATTACCCAGGATAATTATTTTTATGACAAATTCTAATAATAAGGAAAAGAGGCAAGTATTAGTATTTTGTTGTGACACCAATGCATACAAAATGTAGCTAAACTACTTTTCACACAGGGAAGCTTACAGAAATACTTAATGATCCAAGAGCAGCGTTTCTAGCTTGATTAATCACTCCGGTTAAACCCAACTTAGGACACAAAGCTCAAATAAACACTCACTTAAAGGACCACAGTGATAGCTCCTTTGATGCAACACAAAAAAAACTTAATTCCCCTAAGCTGTAGAAAATTATTTGTCTTAAATTACTGGCTATGTATTAGAAAAGATAACTGAGGAACATTCAATTACAATAAAAAAGCTAAATAGACCCATTCTGTTGAGTTGAAGAGAAAATTCTGAGAAAATACAGCAGAAACCTGTCATCCAAGGACTAGAGATAAAGCTTCTGCAGGATCTCAATCTCCCTGGTCTACAGTGTTAAAGCAATCATGGCAGCCCAGCTCCGGGGATAATGTATAAATGTGCCGTGCGCCGTTAGGAGTAAAACCTCATGTGCCTTTTGAACCTCTGCTATTCATCTGACTCAGAAATCCCCCAGAGAGACCAGGGCACTGGTTCCCTCGTGCTAGGTCCAATATAAAGGAACTTTCGTTTCTCCTGGGAAATCAAAGGTCTTAACTAAGAATCCAGTCACCAGTTTAACAAGCTAATAACATAAGGTTTTTACCCAGCGCAGCAAACAAAAACATGTAATACCATGAGTTCTACACATACACACAGCACAAAGTTCAGAAAACTAAAAGAAATAGAAGTGCTCCCTTTAAAACCATCTAGAAGACAACAGCCAGTGAGGAACTGTGAGCACAAATCATCCACCTCCCCGCATCACCTTCCCTGCAGTTAGTCCCCCCCGCTCCCCTCCTGCCCACAATACAGGTCAGGATGCTGAGTGAATGACCAACTCCACTAAGTTTGGAGACACAGAAGAAAATTCAAACCCCATCACTTAGCTGTGTAACCTCAAGCTAGTCTTTTAAATGGGGAATTAAACCACTGGCTGCCTCTTACGGTGTTTGTTTGAATTAAAGAGCCTGACGCTGCTTGGAAGACTACCATGACCACATCCCAAAGATCTGACTACCACTAAAGAATCACAGAGCACAGGGGTCAACAAATATCTTCTGAGAAGGACCAGATGGTAGAGATTCGTGGGCCACACAGTCTATTCACACTTCTTTCTGGATTTCCCTTTTAGAGTCATTTAAAATTGTGAAAACCATTATTAGCTTGAAGGTCCCTCCAAAAACAGGCCTGGGTAGATGTGACCTACAGGCTAGTCTGCAAAYCTCCATCTCACAGACGAGTTATTTATGTAACACCTGAGACGTTCTCTCTTTCTTTGATTTATTAACATCTAAACTGAAAAAAAAAATATTTATCAGCATTTTGGAACCTCTATTTAAAAAAAAAAAAAAACCATTAGTTCAGAATTCAGTTTCAGTCTAATCCAGCATGCCCTCACAACTCAGCTCAAGCACTGTCCCCATCCTTTCTTCCTTCATTCTTCCTACAGACGGTTTTTGAGAAAAGAACTGAACTTCAGCTGCAGTTCYCCGAGCGTCAATCTGCTTGCTGTGGTTTGCTGGGGGCTCCTTGTTGGTGCTAAGCCGGTTTCCTCATCTCTAAGTCAGCATTGGCACCTATCTTAAGAACCACTTATACCCTTGGCACAAAGRACCACATCAATGCACGTGTTGTATAAACATACATTGTCAGGCAAGTGCTTCCCAAGTGCTCCATATCAAAGTGCTGCTCTTCCCTGCTGCCACTGCCTTTGCCCTACCTTGAACCTCAGTAATAAGTCTTACAAATCTGTTGGTAACTGGACCAATACTGGTAATTCTCTCTTTATTCTCTGCGCTATATCTCTTTTCAGAAGTTGAACTTTGGTCTTCCCTTCTTTTATCCCCTGATATAATTCTTGGGCCYTACCCCAATGGCCTTCCCACAGACTTGAGAACCACAGAGTCTACTTCAGTAGAAGAAGGACTGGCCTAGGTCCTTTTATCACCAGAACATGACTGGTGAAATGTCTTTTATGAAATTCTAAAACATGAACCATAAAGTAGGGTGACCACAAACTTCTTCATGTCATGTTAAAAAGAATGTCAAAAATGATGAAGCCAGAGAATACTCCAGGCAACAGAAAGAATCAGCATTCATTACATGATTGCTGCAGAGCCATGTAGCATGCCTACTACAGGGCAAGATTCAGCTGCAACCCACCCACTCCACCCTAGAAAACTTTCTGCACATGTAAACACACACACATTTRGGTGAAGATTCCCCTTAGCAGTGCTTCAGGGGGAAAAATAGAAACTAAATAGCCACCAATAGGAAAATAATAAACTATGGTATATTTACATCATGATACTATAAAGTCATTTAAATCCGATTATGAGTACTAACATGGACACATAAACACATAAACAAAAATATGCATCAACTTCAGGTTAGGATGAAGATGGGTGGTTCACTGAAAAGCTGCATTTCTTAAAAAAATCTAACACTAACAAATCAAAGTATAACTTTGCTTTAATGCAGATAGTGAGCTGGGTACAGTGGTGCACTCCTGTAATCCAAGCAATTTAGGGAGTCAGAGCTGGGAGGATCACAACTTCAAGGCATCCTGGGCAACTTTAGGAAGACCCTCAGCAACTTAGTATGAACCTGTCTCAAAATAAAAAAAATTTTAAAAGGCYGGGGGTGTAGCTTAATGGCAAAGCACCCCTGGGATCAATCCCCAGAACCAAAAAGAAAAAAGAAAAAACTGCAGATGGTGCACACATGGGCATATATTTCTGCCGTTCCCCACATACTTCTGTGGTAGTGAGAATCTGCCCCTCGCTCTCTTCTCTTGGTGGAAGGCTGTCAGTCACAACCTAGCCCTCCTGTCTCACTTCAGGAAGRTATGTCACATGCTACTGGTGGCTGCTCCCATTCCATTCTCAGGGGTTTCTCTGAAACACATTAACACTACTGAATGCTCTTTGGGTGACAGCCAGGAAAATAGGCAAACTAGTGACTTGTCCACTCAAGCACTTACGTACCTCTTTGACGACACTGTAGGCCTTGGCCACACCTTCCCTCAGGTCTACTGGCTGGTGAGCTAATCGGTGATGAGGAAACCTTCTGACCTTCTTGGGCTCAATAGAAAGAGTACCAGGAGACACCATGTCATAAGCAGTCTCTGCTGCTGCCTGGATATTTTGTCAGAATAAGAAATGAATTAGAAAGCAGTCGGGAGAGCTCTGTAACAACAGAGAACTCTATGGGGAGTGTGCGGAGCTCCCAGGGTCTGAATTCTATACAAGAGTTATGACTTCTACAATAAGAATATGAAAGATAACTAAAAACTCATATCTGGATTGAGCTCACTTATTCAGTTCCTTTCTCTCTCCATAGAGAATACTCAATATTTCTATGTTATACAATTTAATACTGAATGGAAACAAACCTTAATACCTCTACTGTTTAATCAATTAAGCTTTCTTGAATTTAGCTATGATATTTTTATACAGACTGATAAAACAAATCCCCTAATTTAATGGTTGTTATTTACCTGAAATAGGCAAACAAATTTAACACTGCATTCCACTGTTCCATTCTACTGAATATTTTAATGTTGGACATCTAAGCGATAAAATGATATTAAATAATTACAAATAAAACATCTATGCTCAACACTTAGTGTATTTATATTTTCACAGTATGTTTAAAAACAAAACAGCCCACTTTACAGTAGCTCTTCCTTGTGGATTAAGACAGGCTGGGAAAGATACCTGTATGGTTTGGACCATTCTGTTTGTGAGCTCCAGAGCTGCCATTGCTGTTGAAGTGCCAAAGGAAGCGGCGCCTCTCTGGAACCCTCGGACAATGCGGCCATCCTTCCGGTACTGCTCTATGGGTAGCCACACTAAGTCCTTGAGGCCTTGCACTGAAACAGCACAATAATCAACATGAATTCTGGGGTTCAAAACTCCATTAACATTCTAATCCTGGAGTTTTTAACCCCAAAACTGGAGGCAAAGTTTTTTGTCTGACAGTACACATGTGGGTTTTTAGAAAAATGATCTTCATGTAGACTCTCATTCATAACCCCAAAAGGGTTAAAAGAGAAAACTCACCTAACTGGACCAGTGAATGCATAGGTCCAACGCCTCCCAGGATTCCTGGTAGCTGGTTCTTCTTAATGTCATTGAGCCATTCAGTGATTGCATATGAAAATAACTTATCAACACCTAGCAAACTAGAGTAAATGACTATTAGTATATAGAAAGGAAAAATAAACTTTATACATTTAGATAAGTTTTTTAACTTAAATTTATGAATTATGTAAGCAAAATTTTTATACTTTTTTAAAATTTAAAACAAATTTTAAATCAAAAATTAACATATATCAGCCACTTAACTCGCAATCTGAATCACTCTCTTTCTACATATTTATATTAGATGACAGGTAAATATAGACATAAACAGATATAGAATGTTTCTAATGTTGTAATGTTTCTAATTTCCACAAGACTTAAGTACATGTGTGTGTTGTTCCACTATCCTTATTTCTTGACTATCTAAAGCTCTAGCATAGAATTAACCCAAAGTCTATAAATTGCCATTAATTTTTTTCAAAGAATAAGCTAATTTATAACTTTAGGAAATCATTAGAAATGTCCCAAACAGCTATTTTTAAATACTAGTACTCTACTCAATTGACTCTGTCTCTCTCAGAATAAAAATTAGCCTCTAACCAATCAGAGTACTCTAAAAATGAGCTCTCTACAGAAAACACTGTATTTTAAAACAACTAACATATGCATGCTTGCTATGAGGGCTCCATTTCTAATTTGTTGTCAACTGGCCTTAGTAGCCTCCCCTTAAAGCCTCCCAGGATAAATCAACTTACCCATGCCGATAGAAAAGCCTCTTCAGCTTTAGCTCTGAGCAGTTTAACTGGGCCAAACCAATTAGAATCCCAGCTAACGTACCCTTTAAAGTTAAAAACATTTGGATTAATTCGTAAATAAAGACAGACTCAACATTTAATATTGTTGTTATTTTGGGAAAATCAACATGATATTCATTAACAAAGCTAAAAAATCTTGAAATATTTACAGAATATATAATTCATAGTATGTACTACCCACTAGATCCCAAAGTATACTTATGGCACTGAAGGAAACAATATTTAAATTATTTACTTAAAAAAATTAAAATTTAAAACCCTATGCTTCATTTCAATTCTATATATGTGTGTGTTAAAACTTTATATACCTATAAACTATGATAGTGCAAAGTTTAAAAAAAATTGAGCCCATTAGGAAAAAAAAGAGATAATTTTATAGAACATATTTATGCAAAATTTCCAAACCTGATCCATTGATACATGTTTGCCATGATAATCAAGTCGAATAGGAACTTCTGATGTGAATCTGAATTCTCTAGAGATAAACAATGGAGGGAGTTATTTATATTCAAAATTACTAATTGTTTAAATTACATATAAATTAATTTGTTGAATTAGAGAATTAAAAATAAAACCACAAAATAAGTCTGTAAATATCTTATGGCCTAAATAAAAAATGTCTTTTAGTTCTATCTTTTCGTAGGTAACAACTAATCAGATATTAGTCATTTGATAACTTTGTATTTAGTATATTTTAATTTTTCTCACAAAAACTTTTTCTAATTTATTAAATAATGTTCATTCTTATAAAAATTTATTTTGGTAGATATTCTCCATTCATACAAATTAATAAAAACAATAAAAGTGATCCTTTAAGAGTAATCATTAAGTCAATCATTACCAAGAAGTAAAAAAGAGAAAAGGTTAGATGATTCTTCTGGCTGGTGTGAAGCAGTCAGGAGACTGGCAACAGTTAAATGGGATGCAATCGTGGGCAAATGACTTAAAACACTTTGAGCCTGTCTTCACCAGCAAATGTTTTAAATGCCACCTACATTGGTAAATTTTGGTGAGAATCCTTAAAATTTATGCTTGTAAGTAGGTTATCAACATACTAATATTGAGAATCCTTGGAGAATAAAATAATGTACATTGATGGCATGTAGCAAACAAACTCATCTGGCTTCTAAAAGCTAAATGTAAACTGGATACATGGAACTTTTTTCCCCATAGAATTAATATTGGTGGTTACAACCTAAGCCACCTCACAAAAGTTCACTTAATCTTCAGTGAAAAGAAATAATGTATTTACAGCAATCTCTTTTAGCCTGGGTTCACAGGTTGTTCCTTCTGGAGGGGGGGGGGGTGGTAACTGGGGATTCAACCCAGAAACACTTAATCATTGAGCCACATCCCCAGCCCTTTTTGTATTTTATTTAGAGGCAGGGTCTCACTGAGTTACTAAGTGCCTCCCTAAGGTGCTGAGGTTGGCTTTGAACTTGCAATCCTCCTGCCTCAGCCTCCTGAGTCACTGGGATAACAGGCATAYGCCACAGGACTTGGCTCCTCATTTCTTGAATGCTCATCTCCACCTGGTTGTCTGGGCAATACACTTGGTACTCTCTCCTTCCCCACTCCTTTTACTCAAAACAAATGTTATTTTAATTATTTATAAGCTCACTGATTTTTCACTGTGTGTAGACCAAAACCTGGTGTACACACAGTAAGTGCTCAAGATGTTCAAAACATAACACACTTTCAAACACATCTACTGCCACTTTGGGCCAGATCTAAGGTCTCACGTCAGAATCTAGTGGAGAAGACCGAGAAAAGGGGGCCAAGATGCCAACAGGGGAGGGATTCAGGGAACCAGAGAAGGTAGCTAACTGTCCCTCTCAACAAGGGGTTTTGCTCTTTCTCCCTTGTTAATGCCAAGGCTCCATCCCTTCCATCAAGGGTTAGGAAAGAAGAGGACAGAAGATGAAAGTCTGGAGAGGTGAGAGAACTCCAGTGTGTGGCCAGCTGGCCAGGCAGCTAGACAGCATCAGAGCAGGCAGCAGCAGTGCAGGAAACCTGGGCATCAGGAAGTGATGGTTCAGCCAAGGAGGAAGGGTCAGGAAAGACAACCGTGGTGGGGAACATCAGGTAGAAAATCCCACAGGAGAAAAGGCAGGAATGCCAAAGCCAAGGTGTGAAAAGAGGCAAAAGGAAAACCTCCTGTTTGGGGAGGGAAGGGAAGAAGTTAGAAGGAAAAGGGAACTTGTATAACAGATTCAAAAGAGATAGATCCTGAACCAGGGTTCCTACATATAAATGAGCATGTAAATTAGATGGGCACCACATACGAATAAACACACTAGTTAATTATGTGGCAAGGCAAAGAAAAGCTGATGTAACCTCACAATCACCAGTATACTTACACATTACAGAACTACCCTCAGAACTTCAAGGTAACTTGTTATCAAAATTATTTACCTAAAAAACACAGGCTGATCACTAAATGACGCTTCTTCGGCTGAGAAGTCCTTTTCCTCTGCTCCATTAACTGCCTCTGCTGCACTGGCACTCTCGTTTTGGGAAAGTTTTGGCCCAGGGAAAGAAAGAACTAGATTTGGCTCCTTTGAAATACTCAAATGCCTTGGCAAACTGCAAGTGACATCAGCTCCAGGAGACTTTTTGACTGAAAATATAATGTGCACATTTGAAGTATTAGGTATGTCTCTATAGAGCAACTGTTTAAATCAATCTCGTTACCTTTCATTTAATAAATACAAACCCTATTACAGAGAAAATTTGCTTCTCAGTAATTATTACTTTTATATAAACTATATTTGCATTAATTAAAAACAACACACATGCATATACATGGGAATAAAGATTATAAATATGAATAAGTCAAAGTGAACCCCACTACTAACTATAATGCACTAATAAAAATAAGCATATTCTCAAAAATACCTCATATCAATCCAAGTACAAACAGTCCCAATTTAATTTAATGACAGTTTTGACTTAAAATTTTTCAACCTCACAATGGTATGAAAAAAATATGTACATTCAGTAGAAATTGTACCTTGAATTTTTATCTTTTCACAGGCTAATAATTGTGGTCAGATTCTGTCTGTGATGGCAGGTATCTATCTGCAGGTAGCCACAGTTCCACCAACCCCTCAGTCACAAGGGGAAACAAAAAACACCCTACAGTGTTATGTTGCTATGATGTTCAGTAGGTTAGAWAACTAAATGCATCTTCAACTCAAAAGTGTTTTCAACTTACAATGTATTTCTCAGGATATAACCCCAACCTAAGTTAAGGGCATCTGTACTTACTATAGATTTTTCAAACTATGTTAAATACCTTCTGGATCTGGAGTCAGTAGAAGCTCCACTTCTGCAGAAAGACTTGTGAAGAAATCCTTCAGGAAGAACAAGGCATCCTAGAATTAAGAGAAGTCATTACAACTGAAAAGAGGAAAAGGACATCTATTTCTAAAACTATGAAACAAAATAATTTGAAAGTCTCACATTTTACTCATTATTCAAATATAGCTATAATTTATTGTAACCCTATCATGTCTYAGGTCTTATTCCTATTCTGTGCGTGTGTGTCTGTCTGTCCCTCCCCCACCATACACCTTTCCCATCAATTCTCACAACTCTGAGAAAATTAACTTAGAGAATTTAAAAATTACAAAGCTAAGAATGATTCTCAAAGTACTTTCTAGTTTTCTTAGAAACAGAGCATTCTCATTCTTGTTTGGCATTACTCTTCATTCTAAATTGTAGTGGTAACACTACTAACAATAATAATGGCAACTAGTTTGTTCTGGATACTCATTTGCCATGAGAGTTCTTAATGTCTCATCTCTGCTTTTACCACTGTGTTACCTTAATACATTTTCTCCAGTGGACAATGACATTCAAAATAAGAATGAAAAATAAAATCAATCATTCAGAGTAGACCCTTCTGGTACTATAGAGTTTCAAACAAAAATGTTTGGCTCTGTCCTGATAATCCATTCACATCTGGCCCATTTTTGGCAGCTTCATTCTGCTTTTCTCAAAGTGACAATTACATCCTGGGACATATAAAAATCAAATGCCTGAGCCTATTCTTTCTTATTCTTCCCTTCCACTTTAAAAAATCCTAAATTAATATAAAGCATTAATACTATACCAAAATACAAGGCAAAGTTCAATTATAGGGTCACAATATAGTTAATTATAGGGTCACCAAAAAAGTCTGACAATTTCCAAGGATTCGAGTACTTAGGATCCCATTTATCTCAAGTATAAATGATCAAGTTAGAAGAATATTCTAGGTACCATGGAGCACAGGGGAATGAGGCAGCTCTAACACTACTAGAAGAAGGTAGCAAGTTCATGGGCTGTTCATTACTCTGTAATGCTTTACACACGTATATTCCTGTACATAGTTTATACATTATTTACATTACACATTTATCAAATAATATATGTTATTTATATCAAGTATTACCCATTAACAAATCTAACCGTATATAAAATGCTTTCCTTGGCCACTAAATGGTAACATTTTAATACAATCAAGGTTTTAAATCCAAGATTGCCTTCATAAAAACAGAAAATTTCAGATATCAATATGCTTTTTAAGAAAAAGCAAGGGGGGCTGGGCTGGGGCTGGGGATCAGCGGTAGCGCACTTGCCTGGCATGTGTGAGGCACTGGATTTGATTCCCAGCACCCAYGTAAAATAAATAAAGGTTTACCAACAACTAAAACAAATTTTWAAAAGAAAAGGGCTGAGGTTGTGGCTCAGTGGTAGAGCACTCACCTAGCATGTATGAGGCATTGGGTTCAATCCTCAGTATCACTTAAAAATAAACAAAAAATAAATAAATAAAGGTATTGTGTCTACCTACAACTAAAAATTATTTAAAAAAAAAAGAAAAATTAGACACAATACACAACATGACAAAGGGATACTACTCCCAGCTTCTTAAAATGTTCTCAATTTTTATTTTGTATTTATGCTAAACTCTATACAACTCAGTAAAACAGGCATAAAATACAGAGGCATAACAAAATATATACAAATGGCTAACAAACATGTGAAAAGGCGCATAACATCACTAGTCTTCAGAAAAATCCAAAATGAAACCACCATGAACACGAAGTAAACAACTAAATTAGAAAGCTGATACTCGCAAGTTTGACAAAGATGTGAAGCAATTAGAGTGCTCACTGGTAATGCATGGGAATGTAGATTTGGTACAGCCAAATAGGACAGTAGGACACTGTCTGGAAGCTGCTTATGCTAGTTAAACATATATCCCCTGAACACCCAGAAATCCTGCTTTTATCTTATACATATAATAACCCAAATGTAAATCAGCAGGTAAACGGATCAATAAATTGTGGAATATCCACACAGTGAAACACCACATGGCAATAAAAAAAAAAAAAAAAAAAAGAACTGGGCTGGAAGTGTAGCTCAGGGGTATAGCACTTGCCTAGTATGCATGAGGCCCTAGGTTCCAACCCCAGCACCGTAAAAACAATGAGCAGATTCTTGACATGCTACAATACAGGTGAATAACTGACAAAATATTGAGTGCAGAATCCAAACACAATTCTATGYACATAAAACTATGCAATAGGAAAAAAAAACAAATTATGGTAATTGAAAGACAAGTGGTTGCTTTGGGATAGTGAAACTGACTACAAAGGGACATAAAGGGATTGTGTGGGGTATGGGAAATGTTATGTACTTCAACTGGTTTAGTAGTCACGCAAGAAACAAATCTGTTAAAGTTTCACTGTAAAGTTAAAATCTATGCATTTTATTATATAAATTATACCTCAATACAATAACTTTTTTAAAACTCAAAAAAACTTTCATAGCAAAATATTTATGCCAGCTTTAAGGTACAACAAAAAAGGATATTAATAGTGCAATAGGATTTAAACTGTTAAAGAATTGCTTTTAATGCCATACTCAAACAAGGAAGTGATGAAGACAAAGTACACAAATATGCCAAGGTGCTGCTACTTGTRTACCCTTGCCCAGCCCCAGTGCTTCCCTATCTCACCAGAATGGCCTCCCAGCCCAGCCTGACTTAAGCCCCTCATGTCCTTCATGAAGAACTTCACTGGCCTAACACYCTGACACTCCCTAAGACCTAGTTTGCATATCCCCGCCTCCAGAAAGCCTTTCCTCACCATCCCTCACCCTCCAAACTCCCTTTGCGGGMCAGGCACGTCATTCTACGCCTTCTTTATCACTTGTACTCACCACAGCATATAAAAAGCATCTGCTTTATGTCAGTCTTCCCCACTACAGAGAGATCTTTGAGGATAGGAATGTCTTATTCATCTTTGTATCCCCAGCATCCTAGTTCAGAACCTGGGACAAGGTAGGCATTCAGGAAATGGCTTTGAATTCATTAACAAGTCTCCCCTACACAATTCCCAGGCAGTGCAAGGCTAAAACAAATGCTAGACTAGGACAGTCAGGGAATCTGGCCCTTCATACTTTGGATCTCCTATCTCCTACACAATGGGACTCGTCCATCTGCACTGTTTACTGCCTGTGCTATGGACGTGCTGTGCTTTGGAAGCAATGCCCTTAATTCCAACAGCAATGAAGCTTGATGTCTATAATTCAATTAAGATGAATAAGATCAGGAGAAGCTGGCTAAGAAAAATATTACTCAAAGCATATCATTCACCAACTGATTTATTTTCATAAGAAAAAATGAATAGAATGCAAGGTTTTCTACTCCATGAYGGTTTGCAATCTCAAAATATGCCATGTAGAAAAGATTTTTTTTTCATTCAGTAAAAAACATAAGGCTTGTATATTGTAGCATGGTTTTATTTTCCTAGGTTTTATGTCTTAGGGACTGATTTCCCATTTTTCCTCAATGCAGTTTCGACATTTATTTCCCTGTTTTCTTTAGGATTAATATTTCATTTTGACGTTTTAATGTTTTATAGTTATAACAAAGAAATTATACTCAACACTAAAGAAAAAAGTCTACTAAAGGAATTGGGCTTGCCACATTTAATAAAGTCATGACATAAAGACAAATTTCACTCAGTCTTGCTCACACTGGTGCTTTTCCCATAAATCTTTCTACTAGGCCAATATATAGATAAACTAAACTAAAATATGGATATGAATATCAAAAGATATTATTCTCATAATGAGAAAACCTAAAATCTGGCCCAACTCAGAAGTCATACGCATTAATATGAAACTAAGGTCCACTCCTGTACCTCACAGTATATTGTTCTCTGAGATAATGCCATTCTGTTTGCAATATAAATATTTAAATTCAGTCCTAAAATACCTGTTACTTGCTTATAATTGATTATTCACATTTTATTTAAGTAACTAATGAATAATAGCCAATCAATATTATTTAAGTAAATGAATGACACCTCACAAATAAATACTCTGCTTCCAAACCTGAGCTCAGATCAATATAAAGGATATGAAGAGGGTTTTATTATTTTAAAGCAGATTAAAAATTCCATTTGTGTTCTGCAGTTGTTATATGTTTCAGTTAACATTAAGAACCTTAACATAGGCTGCCGAGCACTTAGCATAAGTGTTTCCTTACATCAATCTATAATCCTCATTCTTAAAAATCCTAATGCATGTATTACAATCCCGCTCATTTTATCAATAAAGAAAGTGAGTCTTGGAGAAGTTAAGCAACTTAACCAAAGCCACACACTAGTAAGTTACAGAACAGAGATCTGAATCCAGGTCCGATTCTAAACCCACACTCTTCACCACCACACTATATTACCACTAAGCATCTTATTTTATATCTCAAATATGGCTTTTACAACCATGTTTTAAGCACTTCTCAGGGTCAAAGTTAGCCCAGAAAAAATATGATGGGAGGTTTACTTGAATATGGGAAAGTGGTTTTCCTTATTTACATCTTTCCATAAACCTGTTGTTTATGACCTCTTTAGGTAACAATTTGCTAATTTTCATTTTGCTCAGGGTAGAAAAATTATTTTCCCCGATGTTATTACAACACAACCCTTTATATTTATCATTCAACTCATTAGGAAGTCCTTTAATAGTCTCTGAAAATGGTGTACATATGAACTAGAAGTAAGTCCACAAGGACTGGAGAAAGTGAGTAGCATATATTTTGTCCCACCCTCAATGAATAGGAGAGTGGGATAAATAACATCCATAACATCTACCCACCAGCAATTCATATTCCAAACCTTTAATGAATCTGCTCTACTATTTATCAAAAGTCTGCTTAAATTATATAATTCCACAAAAGCTCAAAAGTAAGAAACATTACAGTTCCTTTATTCTGGATGAGGGGGCATAAGTCTAACCATAATCACATGAATCATGCCCATGCTACCAACCTGGTCAATATTGAGGCGAAGTGGCATCAATGATACCCTCAAGCAGCATTCCTGTGGTGACCTGCCAGACTCTGGGCGCACATGTAATGCTTTAATTGTCAACTATAAGACAAAAACAAAACATTTTTTTTCCCAGTGAGATAAAATGACCTTATTCTCATGTTAATAAAGAAAAATCGTGAATTCTATGTAAGTACAAAAAGTGATGAATTATCTACTTTTTCCTTAAAAGTCTGAATCAAAAATTTTTGGAGCACAATCCCTTTTAAGAACGTAATGACAGAAATTGGGCTGCCTTTAGAGGAAAAATTGCAAATGAGTGATACTGTACTTGCAGGCTCAAAGGAGTCTGCTGAGGCCCAGAAGCCAATGTATAGGCCCATCTTCCAAAGTCAACTTCTGTAAAGAACCTCTAAGGTCCTAAGCTTATCAGTTCCACCTCGATAAAATTAAGCAACTTAAGCAAAGCCATCACTAGTAAGTTACAGAACTGAGATCTGAACCCAGGTGCAACCCTAAGCCCACGCTCTTCACCACCACACTATATTTCTACTAAGCACCTTATTTTATAACTCAAATAAGGCTTTTAGAACCATGTTCTGGAACACTTTCACAATCCTAATTATTTTGTGCAGACTGCTATGGATTTCTGGTTTTCTTCAGATATCAATATATTGGCCAATTATAGTTAATAGACTCTAGCAACAATATGCAAAATAATTTTTTGAACACAAAACTTTAAGTGACATATTTAAAAGGGATTTTCATATTAAAAAGAGAATACAACAACAAAAAGTGAGGCTTTAAATCTTACCATGTTGGAATGAGCTTTTCGAGGCATTTCTTTGCTGCAATACAAGTACAAAAATTTATTCATTTGTGATGTTGCCAGCCGATCCCGAATTTCAAGATCCTGAACAATGAACACCTGCCGAGAGACTGGCTGTTCTAAGAGGCTAGAATCGCATTCTGCTTTGCATGTGGGGTAGACTTCATGCTGAAATTTCACCTTAACAGACAAGGAGAAGGAACACAGAGTAACCTTTACTTTTATTTAAATTAGATTTTCTCTTTAAAATGCAAACAATCACTCATAATTTTCTTTGGATTCTATCTCAGCTTATAATTCCACTTTCAAAGAACTAAATGTTTCATTTGTTCACTTACTCATTGATCTATGTGTACCCTACAATACACAGATAAGCTTTGTTAATATTTCTTAAATGATCTCAGTAAAATCCCTTACTCTTTTAATTTTTTACTCATTTATTTTGGTACCAGGGATCTGAGACAGGGTCTTAGTAAGTTGCTTAGGGCCTTGCTAAGTTGCTGAAGGTGACTTTGAACTTGTGATCCTCCTGYCACAGACTCCGGAGTTGCTGGGATTTAGAGGCCTGTACTACCACACCAGCCCCCTTTTACCCTTTTCAAGCAAAATTAGAAAACCTAAAATTAAGATCTTGCATACCTATGAAACTGCATGAACAAATCAATAGAAGGAAAGTTCAGTTCCAAAAAGGGGCAAAGAATTGCCATCACTACAATATCTGTACACCACCTATCCTAAATATGACACTTGGGGCATCCTGAACAGACTGACAGAATTAAATTAAATGCATATAATGTCATTAGCGGTGTGGGACCTATGGCCTTCCAGAACTTCACAGAGCACCTGCCATATGCACTATCCAAAGGCAGGCCTTCCCAGACAGGTACTCTGGGGCAGCAGTTTATCATGTGCCTGCAAAAAGAATCACACTAAAAATTCATGTCTGTCAGACCCATTCAGTCAGCAATGCTAGAGTGGGGCCCACAAATCCAGGCCTAAATAACCCACTAAGGGATTCTAAGGGCATTCAACTCTGAGAACCCAACTCCTAGAATAGCATGAGAGAAAAAAAAAAAAAAAGCACCATGGGCTTCTTAGAACACCTGAGAAATAAAGAAAAGGAAGCATTTTATAGGAGATCCTTGTACTTTTTCAATCCAAAGAGCTCAAGACCAATGAGGCTAGGGAAACCAAAGAAACACCACTAATACTCCTTCCATCTTAAGTGGACTTTTCCTTTCAAAATACCTCCTTACCTTGCTTAACTGTATTTCCATTAAAAAGTCAGGGTTTCTTCCTTTCCCTCCACATACTGTATTCCGTCCATGTCTTGTGGGTGTGTGAGAAGGAGAACTGTGAGGACTACTAAAAATGAAGAAAAAGAAAATAGTGTTTAAAAATAATCAAAGAAATTTAATTAATAATATTAGAAAAAATAATAAGATGAAAAGAAAAATAAAATTACAGAATTATCAGAATGTTGTCACAAATTATATTATTATAAATCAAAACCAGAGTAGTCATCCGCTTGCTAAATAGTCAGAACTTAGAAAAATCTAATTATGGTGCTGGGTTCCATATCACAGGATTCACTTGGAAATGAGACCTCTYTATAGCATTCTTATTACCTTAGAAAACTTTTTGGTCTAAGAACAAGTCCTAAAAATGCCAGAAAACAGAAAAGAACTATAATCAAGTCAGAAGTGTTTTAAAGTAACTTTTTAAGTACAAAAAGGCAACTATTGTAACAAATGTCACTGCTCCTCCCACCCTGGGAAACTCTTTGCCCCACTGTCCGGGCACCCTCTGCCTAGTTCTCTTCTCCTGCTGCAGAACATTGCCTTTGTTTAGTTAGTAAGCACTCGGTAAGCACTGGTGCCCTGCTCAGTACGCTCCTGCGTGCTGGGAGCTCAGGGAATGCACAGTTCCTGCCTCCTGACACACTCACTTTGCTGTTCTCCTTCAGTCCATGATTATCCCCTCCTTTGGAGCTAAAGAAAGAGCTGGGTCTTGCTCCTTTTTTAGAATGGGCATATAGTAAATACCTGAAAATCTTGCTGAGTGAAAYTCATATAAGTCAACATTAATTACAATACAAATAAGTACACAAATGGGAAATGACAAATACTAGTTTATTAACTCTTAAGATAAATTCTATATTTTTATATGAAAAGAATACACTGGCCTGATAAATAAACTTGCACAGAAATTAACTTACATGTAACTTTTAGCTGGAGAAGTAGGAGGAACTGTCCCAAAATCCTTGCCTCCGTAAAGATGCCACACAAGAGAAACTTCCTTAACAACATACCGAATTACAGGAATGGGAAAGTGTAATGGGGCTTTGCTGGTATCTGTCTTCTTAACAGGTAGGCTAAAATAGTTGTCTCTTATCACAATTGCATCATCAACCATGATTTTTATGACTGGCTCTTCTTCCTTCTCCTGAAATCAACAGAAACACAGACTCTCACCTCATTAGAAATGACTGGTTATGCTGCATATCTCAAGGGAATTTCATGAGTCTATATTCTTTTTCCTAATTTTGATATATAAAATAAGGTTATAATTCTGACATTAACCACTACCTAAGAGAGACTGCTTCATTAAGCATACAATGAACTATATTTCTGTTCTTTATAAATCACCCATGAAAATTTTTTCTAGTTTACAATTTCACTCTTACAACTTATTTGATAATATAAAAGTACAGATTTTATGTATAGGTTTGCACATGTATGTATTTTATTCCTTCACTTAAAGTCAATACTGCATTTCAAACCAAAACTTGACCAACTTCAAAATACTGAGCAAATTATCATGTTTCTAATAATTGGTTTATCCTGAGTTTGACTGCTTTGATTTTTTAAATTTTAACCAGAAGATTCTCAGAACTTAGTGAACAAATTCAGTCACCTACTAAGATACTACTGGGAAGTTTTGTGTGTTTGTGTTCCTCTCAATCAATCATTAGCATTCACACACATCTTGTCTTTCCCAGTTATACCAACCACTCTAGGCAGCACAACTTCTGTCATTTAATATTAATGCCCTTAAGAGTCATCTAACTATATGATATTTGCAGTTCAATAATCTATATAGGAAACTTTGCAAAATATAGAGCAGTAGTCTCTGAGTCTGAGAGATGTGCCATAGAAATAATAAAGTACAACCACCATTAAAGTGAATTTAAATTGAAGTAATTCTGAACTGAACCATAAGAAGTAACAAAATCTAAACAATCTTCTTCAGGGACACTTTGGTCAATTTAACTTTTAACATTACTTAAAACCTCAATAATTCTGTTAATTTATTACCTGGATGGCTGCTTTTGGTGCAAAAAGAATGCAAAAATCATCGTTTTCAGTGGGCACACCTGACATTGCATCGCTAATCAAGTGGTGAGTGAATGAGGCATAAGTGGGGCCAGGCTCGTGGGACACATTTCCACTCTCATCTGGGAACAGGAAAAGGTCCGAACAACATGGTTCTTGAATTTGAGATTTTTCATCCAAAACACCTAGATTAAAAAAAAAAAAAAATACAACGTTTCGTATACTCTGAAAAAATACTAAACATCTTAACTATGTGTCAGATATACAGGTTGAATGTTTTCACCTGCAAAATCTCATTTATTTTTTACAATAACCCTATGAAACTGAGAATTAAGAACAGCTAAAGTAACTTGCCCCAAAACACCTCAGCAAGTGGCAGAAATACATCAAAAAGACTGTTTAACAAATGTATGGATACATATAAAGACTGTTTAACTCTCTAAAAAACAGCAAATGATAGTTTTCTAAGTAGAGATAGTTCCTCTCAGTTATATGGCATTAGAGAAGTTCAGGAATCCAGCAGCAGATTAATGCTGACTCGTTTTGCCTCAGCCAGAATTTCATTTTGACATTTCTGTCCTGTGGATGATATTCTGGAAGAAATTTCTTGGGCAATATTGCAGGAGGAAGAGAAATTGGTTACATCTAGCAGAGCCTTACCTAAAACTAGGAGAACCCTGCTTATGAATTGGGGAGGAAGAACAGTTACTAAGCATGTTTTAAGTATTGGAAGAGGAAAATGATTCCAAGCAACAAAAAGAAAGCTATTTCCTGGGCACACTTTCTCCCCCAATGGACACCTGTTCTCAGGAGCTCTCTCAATAGGAAGTTCACAAGATAGTATRTGCACAAAAACCTTATATATGTGAATATATTTTTATACATTTATACTACATATTAGAGTCACTGATTGTTTCTCCATTCATTCAAACCAAACACTGAGATGGGGCTAAGAACACAAAAATGTATAAAGTAACATTTTGGCTTCCAGAGGCTCACAGACAATGAATAAATTTTGAAAAAATTCTCAACTTTCATGTGGTAGCACCTCTGAATTATGCAGTCTAAGTGTCCAGTGCTTAGTGAAGAATCTTGTCTATAAACTCACTCAGTGTACGAATGGGAGCGTGGCTCACACCTATAATTCCAACAACTCAGGAGACTAAGGCAGGAGGATTGCAAGTTTGAGGCCAGCCTTGGCAACTTAAGTGAGATCCTGGCTCAAAATATAAAATAAAAAGGGATGGGCTATAGCTCAGTGGTASAGCACCCCTGGGTTCAATCTCCAGACACCCTACCCAACACACACACAAATTGGTAAAGCCACTCAATAAATATTCATTAAATATGCCTTCCCATGTAATTAGACAGCTCTGTTCATTACAAATAAGGTAGTACAAAGGAAGCCAGAATTCCCAGTTTACATCCTTAGTTCTAATTTATTCTAAATTAGAATGGAAGCTACATTTAATGCTAAACTTTTGTAACACCATAAAATATTTAAAAATTAAGATTTCACAATATGGGCTGGGGATGTATCTCAGTTGCAAGAGTGCTTGCCTTGTATTCACAAGGCCCTGGGTTCGATCCCCCGCACCAAAAAAAAAAAAATTCACAATATACAGAAATAGTTATGTCCATCCAATTAGGAAAAACTAGTTTTGAAATAGATGCTTTAAGTATTTAAATAGTTCAGTTTGGCTCTCAAGGATTTCTAATCATCCAGTCCCTCCCTGCTTGTCCAATTTGACTATCCAGTTCTCACTAAGAAGGGTGCTTTCACCTGCAGCAGCCTGGCAGCACCGAGGAGTCTAAGGCTCTCAATGCCTGTGTTCTGACAAAGACCAGTCTATGGCCTTTCCAGGGTCACCTTCTCCTTCCTCACTACATACCTAATTCCACCCAGTTTCCAAAGTCAACTCATCTCATTTTCACTAGTGTCATGAAATCATTTCAATCCTTTCCAAATTACAGAATACAAACCACATTCCAAGGTATTTCCTTATGTCATTTTTCAGTCATTCCAAGCAGTAGCCTCAGTGTCCTGCCCATTTGTTTTCCTAGGCTATGAGCTACCAAAAAAATAAGTTTGTCTCCCATTTCCTCTGTATCCTTCATGTCATCCTGGATACTGTTATTTATCTACTAGACATTCCACAAATACAAGYTAATTGGCTAATACATATATACCCAAACTTGGACAAGTTTTTTCTTCAGTAAGTTACTTACTGAAGAATTTCTGAGAACACAAATAATCTAAGACACTACAATATCAGTGCTCCCAGGGAAAAAGTCCTGGTCTTACCATTAGCCTGTGGCTTTATTGATGAAGAGGTMTGCTGCATGTCGACCTCCTCCATAGCATCACTCATCAGATCCCGTAAAACCTGCTGATCTGCTTCAGGAAGCACAGGACCACGTGAGGATGATCCACCAGAGGAACCTACCTATAGCCAAAAAGTTTAATTAAAAATAGCCAAAGATGGGTATCATGGCATGTGCCTGTAGACCTAGCTACTTTGGAGGCTGAGGCAGGAGCACTGCTTGAGCTCAAGAGTAAAAGGCCTACGAATTGCCATTTAATGGGACAACATAGCAAGATCTGTCTCAAAATAAATAAATAAATAAATAAAATTAAAAATAGCTGAAAGTACTCTTTAAAAACTCCTTATATTTATTTTATATTAGAAATATATTACATTTTACAGAAACACCAGAAATGGAACCATACTCATTTTTCTAAATTCTGCCCAGTAGCTATCTACATTTTCATTTTTAGTTTTTAGTACTACCATACAACCCTAACAACTACTGCAAACAAGAATGACTGACTCTGAACTGGGATCTTGCAGAGACAATGCACAAGAAGACAGCCCAGTTGCCAACACAACACTGCTGTGAAGCTGGGAAAGGGCATTACTAGCAAGTCTGATTTGACAAATCTGACAGGCTGTGATGACTTTCACTTTTGAAGACAAAGCAACTGCAGGTCAAAGCCTCCTTTCTTGGACTCCCAAGGACAGGAAGCGACATACACATACACGGGAGGAAAAAATCTACTAAGTGGTGATTCACAGGGCTCAACTTCAGTACTGCTACTTCACCACTTTGGTTAGTAAACTGTGGTTTCATTAAATCCAAGTCATACTTTTTAAAATGGAAAATACAAATTCAAAGAATTAATATTTAATTTTTAATAAACTGGAGAATGTTTTTAAAGAGAACAAATAGTAGAGAGGGAGTGTCATAAATCACCTTATTACCAGTGATTATGCAGAAGGAGCAAGGAGTCACACACAGAAGGATAACATATGAAGTGTAAGATATCCTCAACAAAAGATAAAGCAACGCCAGTAGGACCAGAGTTCATAGCAGAGGCACCCACCCCAGGGACTGAGGATCTTGCTCACAGAAGAGGCTATGAAAAGAATGGCCCTGAAAAAATAAAAGTGCTTAACAAAGAGGAGAGTGTTTAAATTGGTCAGAAATGTGACACCTGAGACATAAGACAGCACTGAACTTGGAACAAAAACATCTGGGTTTGTTGCTGTTTCTCCTACTAATCATCTACACAACAGAGGTGATGATCTTTGACCTCTCCTCTGACAGAGTTGTCAGGAAGGGAAAAGGAACTCGATGAGAAAGCACACTGAATGAGTAGCACTACCTAGAACCCAGAGGGAAGCCACTCTTACAGAACTAAGTCTGACAACATGAACATCTACCATCAAGCTTCTCAGAGCATGTTTTATTTTTGATTTGCAGAGAACAATTCTTACATTAATGTTTTCATTCTTCCCTGAGAATAGATGAAAATAACCAAAGACTAGAAAAAAAGTATTAGTTGAGAAGATTAATATTCTGAAACAAAGACTACCAAACAGCAGAATGGCTTTCTAAAAGATCCAGAAAATCACCTTCCCAGACCCCATTTCTTAGATTGTAAAGAATAGACAGTTAACTTTTCAAAGCTTCTTTCCTACCCGATTGTCATGATGACAATGACATAAGCCTGTCACTCATGTGGCAGGGTTGGGGGAGTAACATTGTTGACTGTACCTTGGACTTTCTCTGAGGGCCTCCAGGCTTCCTTTCTGCCTTGCCAGGTGCATGTAAGTCACCATAGCTTGCAATGTACTGAATGAGATTCATCAAAGCAGCACAGGAGTCTGAGCAGGTTCTGATGTGGACAACATCACTCGAACAGTGCAACTCAAAGCGGGGCTCAGTCTAGACAAGACATGGAAGAAAAGGACAAAATGTCTTCCAAACAAGAGACACAACTTCCTTTTGGGCCACACTTACTTTAAATATGTGAACATCTGTCATAAGAAAAATGTACTTGTATTAACCTAATCTTGATTTTTAAATATTTTATCTATTTTTGACCAAAATTAGGTAAGTGGAAAAGTAATTTTAGAGTACAATATAATTTTTTATCTCTCAAAAAATCAGTACTTCAATAAAAATTTCCATATCTTACGAACTTACTTGCTCTCKGTCAGAATCAGACTTCACTGCAGTTATGGTTAATTCTAAAAGCCCCATATCCATCACACGAACATAATCTAAAAATTTTTAAAGAAATAAAATGTCTGAGTAGAGCTTTCAAAAAATGCTTATCCAACATACACCAAAAATTGAACATTTCTTTAAAATTCATTGCAAATAATACTATAAATATTGCAATGTGACAAATATAGTTTCATCCTACAAATTCACAATTTTCATCCTGCAATTCACTTTAATTTAGTGAGAAACTATCTTATATTAAATAATTGGAGTATATATAATTTTGATGTACATGCTAATCTTTTAAGAACKTTATACTATCAAGCTAGAAAACCAATAACTGAAAAACTGAATGTATACACCATATGATCACTATATGTGTAAAGATCCTTTAATAAGATCCTTAGTTTACTAGCATTACTCCAGAGTTAAAATGCTTTAATATAATCACACACAAAACAAAGAAGCTTAAATCTATTCCAGATAGTTTTATTTAACTCTTACCTCTACTCAAATTTACAGTGACAGTGTTACATTTGTCAGACAGATGTAAAGCAGCCTCATCCATGATTATTCTGAGAAAAAAAAGATGAAACCAATATTTGAAAAACTAAGCTTTGAATCTATCTCAGAATTACTCTACACGTAACTGTACCATTCTTTCTAATATAACATATCAAAATTACATACAATTTCTAATGTTACCTAACTTTTTTTAAAACTCACTGTTGATAAGTTCTAGAAATATTTATGTGGTATAAAAAAATTAATCATTTGCTCAAATTCTAAATTTTTAGTGGTTTTTTTAATAGATGCTCAAATTCACAAAGTAACAAAGATAAAGTATATCAAGTATTGAGAAGTTTATCCCATATTCTAAAAGCAAACTAAAACTCCCAAAGATTAAGTTCTTCCCTAAAAATAAAATACAATAATGAAAAGAGTAGATAGATAGGGCAGGTCACTTGAGAAAGAAAATTTGAGTAAGTTAGACAAAAAGATATGACTACTTGTAGAATGCTGATTTTACAAAGGAACAATGAAATGTATCCACCAGCTAACATGTTCTGAACAGCCAGGTTCAGTATACAATGAAGTTCACACAGGTACCTGAGAGTAGAAGACGACTTATCCAGTGCAACACTACTAGAAATACTGAATGTTTCAACTGTAAGAAGAGATCGGATTGGCAAATAAAGGGGCCTAGTATCAAAAAGAAATAATAGAATGTTAATTTAATGCAACAACAGAAACTCTCTTTAAAAAATATTTTGAGCTAGGTGCAGTGGTGCACACCTACAATCCCAGCAACTGGGGAAGCAGAGGTAGGAGGGTCACAAGTTCTAAGCCATCCTCTGCAACTTAGAAAAGCCCTATCTAAAACAAAAAATAAAAAGGGTTGAGTGTATATATCTCAGTGGTAAAGCTCCCCTGGGTTCAATCCCTAGTACCAACAACAACAAAAAATGAACCTTAATTCAATAAATTATGTATTTTTCAAAACTTAATACACATTTTAAATTAAATTTTATTCTGTTCCATTTGTAAATTTACCTGTAATCAAGTGCACAGCTCCAAAGGTGAACATGAAAAGTTGTAAATGAAGTTGGAGGATTATACCCCAAAACAGGTTCATCAGCAATATTCAAGAAGTATAAAATCTATAATCACAAAAGTATAAAATACCCTGCTTTAGAAGATAAAAAGGTTTTGATATAATATACTTAATGGATGTAAAACCAAAGTATCTCACAGAAAATGCATTTACAATGAAATTGATAATGCTAAAGAAAAAAAAATCATTTTGAAGGAATTAATTTCATAAACTACTTGTATATGTGCAAGCATACACACAAGTATTTATGAAAGATGATAGATGTGTTAATTTGACCATATTAAGCACTTCAAAATATACATATGTACATATATATGTGCATATATAAAACGTAAATGAATTTTATAGAATTGACATTTTTTAATTATGTAAATGAACTTCACATTTAAGCTTTGGTCCCTTCCCTAAGATAATCTCATTAAGTATGCGCTAATATTCCAGAATCCAAAAGAAATCCAAACTCCAAAACACTTCTGGTTCCAGGCATTTCAGATAAGGGATTTACATGGATTTTTGTTGTTCAATTATAGAAGTGATAGACTGAAATATATCTATCTATACAGAGAAAGAATAGACAGAGATAGATATCACTATACAGACACACACACACAAAACTACATGCTTTACATCTTAAATATATAKAACTAAAAATATTTTTAAAGTACTTGAAAAATCAGAATTTGAAATGAAAAGTCCCATCCAACATCTATACTGCTACAGAAAACTCAGAAAATCACATCTTATGAAATTAACAACAAAGTATGAATATAATTTCACATTATTTTTCTTTTAAACAATTCTTAAAAAAATAAAGTTTGCTACAGACCACTTTAAAACTCTTATTTCCTAAATAACCCACTGTGGTGGTGGTGGTGGCGGGGGGGGGGGGTTTCTGCACAACTCATTGTTGAAGGAGGATCTCTTTCCTTAATTAGTTATCTCTAGCTCAGTCTAAAAATTGGGCCCTTTCACCAAATTCCTCCTGCCTCAGCTCCTGAGTAGCTGAGCTTACAGGCATGCAGCACCAGGCCCAGCTGATGATGTCCCATTTCATAATGTCTGCTTCATGATAACTACTGAGCTGCACGTTTCTCTCTTGTGAACTTTTCCATATGTGCAGTATATGTCATATAAATGTTAAAATAAACTGATGCACAATAGTTCTCTTACCTGCTCATGCCAGCTAAGCCCAGAAGGAAGCATTCTGTGCTGCAGAGTGGCTCCTTTTAGTCCTACAGCAATGAGAAATTCCTATACAGAACAATACAAAGAATCACATGTACTGCTTATAGAATCCTATTATAGTTCAAAAATTTTTCCAAGAAAATAAATGTGTTGCCTTTTACATAATCATTCTTTGTTGGTATAAAAACAGAAAACACACACCTTTGTATTAGACTCTGATTTATCAGACAATATTTTAACTGCAACCGAGAGCATATTCAAATTGTCTCCTCCAACACCATCTGAAGCAGTTCTACTGAGCCCATCTTCTTCAGAAGAATAAATAGTAGGCTCCAACCAATGAGGGCGCGTTGAACAGGGAAGTCGTGTTTCTGTAGGAAGAACTGCTCCATCTACTATGCCTAGATCCCCATTGAGGTGAAAACATTAAGAAAACAATTAAAAATTGATTTTTTTCTATAACTATTTTGACTCTCATAAAAAAATCCATGTACAGTCAAATATCCCTTTTCTAAAATGCCTGGAACCAAAAAAGTGTTTTGGAGTTCAGAATTTTTTGAATTTTGGAATATCTGCATATGCCTAATGAGATTATCTTGGGGAAAGGATCAAAGCCTGAACGTGAAATTCATTTACAACCTCAAACAAATAGCCTGAAAATAATTTTATACAYTTTTGGTCTGCATGCATTTTGACTGTGAACCACCATGAGTTCAGGGTATAATTTGCCACTGTGGTATCAGATGAGCACTAAAACAGTTTCAGACTTTGGAGCATTTCAAATTTAGAGTTTTCAGATTAGAAATGCTCAACCTACACTTCCACTGAATGTAACACAATCCTGGTAGCACAACAAYCACAAAACAGCTTGGCATTAATAATCCATTGCTCTTTATTTATATTGTTATGTCTGACAGTGCACAACTACAAATATTTAAAAAAATAAACAAATCTAGATTCAAAAATGCTAAGAAAATATAAATAGGAAAATCTCATAAACATCAAAAATATGCAAGTAGCTCATGTCTATTCACAGGACACTGCTCGAAAAGTGGTTAAGTATTTTTATCTGAAACCAAAAGGAAATAAAGAATATAAAGTCCTATCAACTGATAAACAGACAAATAAGATGTGGTATACTCATATAATGGAATATTACTTARCAATAAAAAGGAATGAAGAAGTGATATGACCTAGATAGCCCTTGAAAACATCATGTCAAATGAAAAAAGACTACATATTTTACGCTTCTGTTCACAAAAAAAACTCTCAGAATATGCAAATCTATGGAAAGAGAGAGAATAGATTAATGGTTGTTTGGGGGCAGTAAAAGTGAGGGTCATAACTAAAGTATATGGATTTTGTTTTTTTTTTTTTTTGGTACTAAGGATTGAAGCAGGAGTGTTTTACCACTGAATTACACCTCCAGCCCTTTTTATTTTGAAACAAGGTCTCCCTATGTTGCTAAAATTGGCCTCCGACTTGTGATCCCTTGTGGCTCAGCCCTCCGAGTCACTGGGATTACAGGCATGTGCCACCACACCCAGCTGGCATTTCTATTTAGGGTGATGAAAATGTTCCAAAAACTTAAGTCTGGTGATCGACTGCCCAACTCTGTGAGATACTAAAAATCACTGATATATGCACTTTAAATGAACTATATGATATGTGAATTATAACTTAATAAGACTTTTTAAAAAAACCTTCTAATTTATAATAAGTATTACTTTAACAGTGGAATCTGAATTCCACACAGAAAATAATTTCTAATAGCAAAGTTCTATTCCCAATTGATTTTCTTTTAAATGAAAAATTCAAACATGTTCAAACAGAAATGAACAAAACACACAATTGTCCTACCTTTGTGGTACAGACTGAAACTGCTAGAATGAAGGCAAATGTAGTGCTTGTCATCAAAACCTTCATATTTTGTTACACAAAATAATGATCCATTATTGAACTCTAACCAAAATTCACCATGCTGGTTTTCCAGTAGGTCTCCATTATCTTGCTAATAAAAAGATCACAAAAGCACAGAAGTTATTATTTTATTTCAGTGCTGAAGAGCAGACCCACGACCTCACACATGCTAGGCACGTGCTCACCAGTGGAGCTACATTCCCCACCCCTAAAAGTCATTATTTAAATGTGGAAAAGTCAGAATGTCCCTCAGGATACTCTTTCTTTTAATTCAGCTCAGGAAAATCTCCCACACTGTAGTAAAGTAATCTAATTCTTGAACCATTAAGTGTGGTGGTATTAACACCTGAATGATTTAAATACTCCTAGGTACAACCTCTTCTGCCAAATAAATCTCTGTACTTCACCCTTCTTTAAAACAGATCAGTTACCACTCTTGGGAGCAGAATTAGTCAAAGTTTGGTCAGCAATGAAAGCTAAATTTCAACCCAAAAGGTGCTGTCCCCATGGTATGCCTCAGAACACTGGACTCCTCAGGCACTGAAGCCACTTCAACCCATCTGAATCACTGGGTATATATCATGTTAGATTTCTTTAAAATAAGACACATTTGAAAAAACACTTTGTATTTATAAACCATACCTTTACATCTGTGAACACTGCCATTAATCCATGATTAATATTCAGAAGAACTGAGAGAAAACTCTGAGAATTCTTGTTCTGAGAGTCTAATTTTTTTTTCCTACGAGAACGATAGTTGGGATCAACAGTAGAAAAATACKGCAAAGTCTCTTCTTCAGATCCACTTTCTTCATCTATGAGGGGGAAAAAATACTGTTACATGGTTCTAAATAAAATAAAAATAGCAACTTATCACAGGAAGATTTTGTATTTATAACCTGTTTATTTTTTACAAAAAATATAGAATTGAAATAAAATAGTATCTTCTATGTTTTTCTCTTTAACTCTGAACTTCAATGTGTATACTATTCCTCTAAAGAAAATACATTCAAGCGATCATAATATTCAATATATAGATCAGAAATGGGGAAATATTCTTATAAATTACTAAAGAAATTATAATATAGTATTAATATAAACACAAAGAAACATTTTTAAATCCACAATCTAAAAACTGCTATTTTGTTAATTATAAACTAAGTATTTTAATTCAGAACAAATTTAAAATATATTACCATAGTGAACTGTAGATTTAAATGGACTAAAACTATCTTTGTTGAAGGTGTTAATCAGTTGACTGGCTACTGAAAGCCCAATACCATAGGAAATATTTTCAAATGTCTCCACTGGTGAAGGAGCTGTGGGCTCCCACAGTAGCAAGTCATTAAAGATCCTATAAAGACAAAAGTTGAAAAATAAATATATAACTCCTAATTTAATGGAAGACAAACTAAAGAATATTCCTTTAAGATATATATCACATGATCAATAATTTTTAAAATGGTGAAATGGTGGGCTGGGGATGTGGCTCAAGCRGTAGCACGCTCGCCTGGCATGCGTGCGGCCCRGGTTCGATCCTCAGCACCACATACCAACAAAGATGTGTCTGCCGAGAACTAAAAAATAAATATTAAAAAATTWAAAAAAAAATGGTGAAATGGAAATTTGATCCTATGAAAGAATTTTTTAAACATTTATGTTCGATGGGAAAACAACTGCTATGGCTACCATGCTGGACAGTGAGAAAGGAATCTACACAGTAGATACCTAATTAGCTAGGTGCCTAGCTTTCGTGTTATATACTCAAATTACAAACTCATACATTTAAATGTACTTTAAAGATGAAAGCTAATTAAAAGTAAAAACCCACAAAGAACAAAACGAAAACAGCTTCCACATGARAACACTTTGTAAACTACCCACTGGAGCAGGCTCATTTGATCCCACCTATCCTGGGGAGCAGCCAGGGAGAACTGCTATTCTTACTTCACAACTGAGGAAACTGCCTCACCAGGGTACGTGACCTGCAAAATCACACAGCCACTTAGTGGAAGAACTGGAAAGAGGGTCCAGATTTCTTCCAACTCCCAGTATGTGTGTGTATATATGTATGTATGTATGTATGTRTGTGTGTGTGTGTACATAACTTCACTAGAAAAAATATCTGAGGTGAAGACCACATGTATCAGGGAGGAGAGGAAAATATTACTGGCTAGCCAGAAGAGCCCAACCAAATACTGAACCATGGGGTCACAGCTGGGCTACCCTCATATCCTATCTTTCCAAAGAAATACTGGTCACTACTCAGATGCCCTCTGTCCTAGACTCTACCCCTCACTCTCTAAGCTTTCAAGAAAACTCAAACTTTACAAAGTTCTCCAAGAAGTCTATGTGAGATYTGGACCCAGTGCACAACCTCCATGCATACCTATTTCAATCCCAACCTTTCACGCTCTCCTTTTCCGTACCCTAGACTGCTAGCCTGCCCTGCTAGAGGGACTTGCATCTAATCATCTCTCCCTGTGCCTAGCACAGTGGCATCATGCAGCAGGCAGCAACAACTGAGGAGGAAAGGACAACTAGACAGCTCATGTGGAAGGACTGCCAAAGCACAGACTCATCGTAAAGCAAGGTGCCAAGTGATGAGGTGGCCCTGCCCTTCCAGTGAGAAGACTCTTCCTAGGCCAATGGCTGAGCTTGTGGAGCCCTAGAAGTATAAAGCAGGACTGAGCACTGTGACTCTTTCCCCACCTGAAAAACCTGAAGCATCACTGTTAAAGATACGAGGTATACAGGACAGAAGGATGTCACATCTCAGTCACTGACAGCTATGCCTCAAAACACTGTGTACAAATGTGGCTTACTTCTTCTGGGGCATATTACAGGACAAAGAAACAAAGGTTTATAAATCCAGATTTTGGTCTGAATTCCTATGCATATGAATGATGAAAGTATAAAATGAAGAATTTTCCCAGGAAATGCTCTCCCTTTACCTTACTGCTTACAAGCATTCTTTCTATTGGTAGGCTACATGGAAACTATTACTTTAAATAAAACCTGGAGTCTGTGGCATACGCCCTATACAAGAAAGTTGCATATTTTACTGTTTTCCTTATTTATATTTAGATCTAAACAGTCTTGACACCATTAATACTATAAAACATTGAATGATGCTTCTAGTATAAAGAAAGAAAAGAATGCTTAAGATATTTAAGGATATAACCACCACATTTCTGTGTCTGTGAGCTTGAAATATAACAGATACTCAATATTTGATTTAATTAAACCAGTCATACTTATTTTTTATTTTCTATTTAAAGGATTTTTTACATAGAAAAAATACTATAACCAAAACTATCTTCAAAGAGTCATTCAACTAAGACCCAAAAGGAATAAACAATATTTTAAATGAATAAAATAAAGGCAGAGTTGGTTACTGGTTATAATCCCTGCTCAAAAAAATATATTTCTTTATAAAAAATAGAAAGGTATTATTGAAACATTTAATAAAACTTGATGAAAATGAGATGGCAGTGTGTATAAATATCAACTTCCTGGTTTAGATGCATGAGTTGTGACATGTAAAATGTCCTTGTTTGTGGTAAGTTTATATTCAAGTACTCAAGGCTAAAGGGGAATTAGTCAACAACTTACTCTTAAATGGTGAGGGAAGAGGAAGCAATTTGTGCTGTATTGCATACTGTCAGTCTGAGAACATTTGAAAAAATTTTAAATTTTACTACTTTGAAAATACAAAGCCAATTAAGGGTCAAAGAATTAACACCCTGAGGAAATTAAACATGAAATTACATGATGTACAGAGAGACGGGGGCATTTCAGCATTCACATGATTCCAGGGACCTGAGAGAGCCAGTAGACAGAATAAGAAAGAACAGACACTCTCCTCTGCAGGCCCATTTAGTTCACAACCCTGATTAACAAGAGGCTCTAGTTCTTTGTCTTAAGCAGTCAACTTTCACTGATGGCAGCAGAGAACTGCTGCTGCTATCAATGAAGTTACGTATTTTACATATATTCATCTACGGTCAACTGCATCTGGCCTCAAATCTGTTTATATTTGTTACCATAAGCACAGTTTAACACTACATGCTAAATGATTAATTTCAAGTAACATTTTGAGGAGAAAAAAAGTCTTAAAAATCTATAAGGATTCTGAATTTAATTGACTTTGAAAATATTTTTTTCCACTCTGAAGAAAGAAGAACTAGCTGGGTGCAGTGACACAAACCTATGATCCCAGCTACTCAGGGGCCTGAAACACAGAAGGATCACAAGTTCAAGGCCAGTCTGGGCAACTTATTAAGGCCCTGTCTCAAATATAAGATATTTTTTTAAATGGGCTAGGGATGTAGCTGCTCAGTGGTAAAGCACTCCGGGTTCAATCCCCAGCACTCCTCCCCCCCACACACACACACAAATTGGAACTAAAAACTGTACACAATGCCTTCTGGGTATACTTTATGCAAAAAAAGACAAGGTGGAACTGTAATCAGTGACTCATATTCAAAGAAAAAACCTTGTTCTATATTTCAAAAGGAAACAGAGCCACACACAGTGGCCCTTGCCTGTAGTCTCAGCTAATTGGGAGACCAAGGCAAGAGGATCACTTGAACCCAGGAGTTCAGAGCCATCCTGAGCAACCTAGTGATACTCTCTCAAAAGAAGGAGTAAATAAATATACACTTATAAATTGCACTTTTATAGTATGCATTACTATTCTAAATCTCCTGGTTTAATTGACAATAATCCGCTCAATCAATGCAGAGAGAGCAGGGTCAAGCCCTCTGTCTTCCCAGTGAGCCTTGAACAAGTTGTTCATGACCCTTAGTCTCAGCCATATGCATGTATCCATGACAAGCAGATATCCCTCAACTATATTTAAAGGGAGGAGCCTAGAGATCATGGTTTCCAAACTTCAGATTATAGGTAATCAAACTCCTCCTCTAACATGAGTTTATAAATTACATGCTATTTTTAAAATAGTTTTAGTTGTAGAGGACATGATAACTTTATTTATCTTTTCTTTTTTAAAATATTTATTTTTTAATTGTAGTTGGACATAATAATACCTTTGTTTTACTTATTTATTTTAACATGGTGCTGAGGATTGAACCCAGGGCCCTGCACATGCTAGTCGAGTGCTCTACCACTGAGCCACAACCCCAGCCCCTAATWTCTTCTTATGTGGTGCTAAMGATCAAACCCAGGGAMTCACATGTGCTAGGCAAGCACTCTATCACTAAGCCACAACACCAACCATGTGCTGCTATTTCTAATGTGTATTACAAAACAAATATAAAAAATATAAATTTGAAAAGTAGTTTTTAGAAATAGAGGTATGCCAGGGATTGAATTCAGGGCCTCCTACATGCTAGSCAAGTTCTTTACCACTGAACTACATCCCTAGCCCCTTTTTTAATTTTATTTTGAGACAAGGTCTTGCTAAGTTTCCCAGGCTGGCCTAGAATTTGTAATCCTCCTGTCTCAGCCTCCCAAGCAGCTGGGATTACAGGAATGTGCTCACTGAGTTGTTTTCAGAATTAAACAAAGTGCTAACCTTTTCTTCCTATATTCCTGTAGACTGTCCTGTGACTCTCACTGTCAAGACCACTGAACTAACATGGACCCATCCTGGGACTAACTATATGATTCTAAGACAACAGCTAATGACAATCAGTAAAAATACCTAGAGTTTATTATTCTCAGTTAATAAATAAAGGGCCAAGATATCTGATGCCAAGTAAACCTACAGCAGAAACAACAACTGGGAGCTTCTTCTGAAGACTCATGGAAATCAAAATAAATTGTTTAGTACATGTGGGAAGCTACTAATTATAAGCACCAAGAGCTTCTTTTTCAAGAATCACACGACCACCTTTCAGTTATGTTATACAAGAAAGCCCTTTTGTGGGTAGGAATTAGACCACTACTACTAAGTGCTTACCATGTCTCAGACACTATTCTCAGAATCCAAGTATTACATCACTTAATCCCCTACATAGCCTTTGGGTCAAGCAAGTATGTAGTATCATCTCCACTTCACAGATGGAGAAACTGAGRCTTATGAAAGCTGGGCAAACTGTTCAAAGTCATTAGAGTCTGTAACCTAGAATTCCACTTATTTCAAAATATTTGCCTAGTATATATATTGAGGAGCATTTAAATACAATAAAAATAAATTGCTGTACATAAGTTGCTTAAAATCAAATGCCTTTTTGAATTGTGAGAAGACATGCTTCAGAATTCTCATTCTATGYCCATAGCAATTGTCCCTTGACAAAAGAATCTCTTAACACTCTTTACATCCCTTACATGTAGAAAAACGTAGCATTTGCTCAGCATTTGCAGTAAGCTGACAGGGGCAACCAGTCTACCTGAGGGCTGAGAGAATCAGCATCTAACATACCAGCAGCCCAGACACCAGAACCACTAACTGGGAAAATCAGCTATGACAACAGCACATCATAATGGTAACAGTTCTACAGTCACCATAAACACATACACTATACACTGGGATGGCAAATAATATTAAAGGAAAAAAAAAGGAAAGGGAGAAACAGGAGCAGTTAGGCAGACAATCTGATTCCAAGGATCAATTAAATATGTTTTTAAACTCACCTATTATAAAGTCTCTCATAAAAGCTCTTATTAGGTAATGTTACATGAATATTCGGTAACATTAGTTCCAACACATAGTGAGAATTGCTGATTGCTTTATCCTGAAACTCCACCATTTCTACAGGGTCTCCTGGCATCACCATCTAAAACATAATAATTTTACACACACATACAAAAAAGCAAATAACTATTTTACGTTTAAAATAGTTGTAACATCTTCTTAACGTATCATAGCATTTAGTATATGGGCAATAAACAAACAACAGGGGAGAAGGAAAAACAAGACAATGTTGGAGTTAAAAACCTAATTTTAAAGAAAGTATTCAAAGTATTTTTTTGTTCTTTTAATAAATGATTTCAGTGCAATGAACATTCCTCTTAGCACTGCCTTCAGTGTCCCAGAGATTTTGATACGTTGTATCAGTGTTCTCATTTACCTCTAAGAATTTTTTATCTCCTCCCTGATGTCTTCTGCTATCCATTGTTGATTCAATAATATATTATTTGGCCTCCAGGTATTAGAGTAGCTTCTATTATTTATTATCACTGATTTCTAATTTCATTCTATTATGATCTGATAGAACACAGGGTAGTATCCTTTTTTTGGATTTGCTGAGAGTTGCTTTGTGGCGTAATACATGGTCTATTTTAGGGAAGGATCCATGTGCTGCTGGAAAGGAGTATTTGCTTGATAATAAATGAAATACTCTATATATGTCTATTAAATCTAAATCATTTATTATATTAGCTCTATAGTTTGTTTAGTTTTTGCTTGGAAGATCTATCCGGTGGTGAGAAAAGTGTGTTAAAGTCACCCAGTATTATTGTGTTGTGTTCTATTTGATTCTTGATATTGAGAAGGGTTTGTTTGATGTACAAAGATCCTCCATTGTTTAGGGCATAAATGTTTACTATTGTTATAGCTTGTTGATGTATGATTCCCTTAAGCAATATGAAATGTCCTTCTTTATTCCCTTCTAACTTTGGTTTGAAGTCCACTTTATCTTATATAAAGATAGAAAACCCTGCTTATTTATAAAGTCCATGTGAGTGATGTATTTTTCCCCAACTTTTCATCTTTAGTCTCTGGATGTCTTTTCCTAGGAGGTGAGTCTCTTGAAGACAGCAGTCTCTGAAGACAGTCCTTTTTTTTTTTTTTTTTAAATCCAATCCACCAGTCTATGTCTTTTGATTGGTGAGTTTAGGCCATTGACATTCAGAGTTATTATTGAGATATGATTTGTATTCCTGGTCATTTTGGAACATCATGCTAAGTGAAATAAGCCAATCACAAAAAACAAAAAGAATGTTTTCTCTGATAAGCAGATGCTGATCCATGTGGGGTTTGGGGGTGGTAGGAAAGAATAAAGGAACTTTGGATTGTGCAGAGGGAAGTGAGGGGAGGGGTGGGGTTGTGGGGATGGGAAAGACGGTAGAATGATATAGACATTACTGCCTTATATACATGGATGATTACACTACTGGTGTGACTCAGCAATATGAACAGACAACCAGAGGAATGAGAAGTTGTGCTCCATTTGTGTACAATGTTTCAAAATGCATTCTACTATCATATACAACTAATTAGAACAAAAAAAAAAATAGAAAGGAGACCAGTAGAATAGAAGAAGGGGATAAGGGGGAGGGAGGGGAGAGAAAGGGGAGGTAATGGGGAATAAAATTGATCAAATTATACTGTTTTATTGTGTACATGTATGAATATATTATAACAWATCCCACTGTTACATATAATTATAATGCACCAATAAAAAGGGGGAAAAAGAAAGCATTTTTWAAAAAAAATTAAAATCATTACTACATGACTAAAGATAATATTTTGATATTGCTTGCTCACACTGTTATTTTACCTGTTCATTTTCAAACATTACTCTACGAGAAGAAAAAGGAGACGGGGCTGGTCTCCTTAGGTCACAGACATCTTTCAGAGAATGAGCACCTCCTTCCTCCTCTTCCTGGTAGTGACCGTTTTCTTCCTCCTCTTCAGCTGCTATTCTCTCCAAAATGGAATGCATGGCTGGTGGGTTTATTTTCAGTACCATTCTGATAGCAAAGATAACTTTTTTAGAAAATCAAGATTTAAGTATAAATAAGAAGACTTTAACTTTTGTGCATATTAATACTAAAAAGCTCTGATTAATGAAAGTATTAGACTTCTTTACAAAATCTATGTCTAATGTAACCCACTTATGAATACATTATAAACTTAAATATACTGTAAATGTAGAACTGAAAAAGCAAATAAACAAAGGCCATAAACATGACCTTATGAGGACAAAAAGGTCATTTCAAGTATCATTAACAGGAAGCAAAATTTACCTAAGAATTTGAGTTATTATCATGAAACCAAATCCTCTCATATACATTCTATTCTGCTAGAATGGAACACTTGCCTACCTAAGAAACTTCGTGTTATATAATTGGTTCAAATGGAAAAAAAAAAAAGTCGATTAGGAAATAGTTTCAAAACAGCAAGAACAAAGTTTTTCTACCTGGAATTTCAATAGTAAAGGACTTGTGTGACTATTGTATGTATCTACAAACTCTAAACCTCATGGCATTAATGCRGCCTTTGACTGCAAATGCCATTGAGCTTTGACTTCAGAGTATAATCCCATTCCTTTCCTCGTCTTCTACAGAACATCACTAGCACAAGCTTTTAGGGTCCTTTTTTAATACCATATCAAACCATTATTATGATGAGTCATGGAGTCCTCAAACAAAATAGCTGTGTTGTTCTTTCTACCTAAGTGATGTTTGGGTTTTTTTGTTTTGTTTTGGCCCTAAGAAGGTGTTGCTATTTGGTTCTAGTAAACTATCACAAACCATTTCTTAATTTATGGATATCCAAATGTAAATTGTGCTTCCAAATTACTTAACTGAAACAGATTCAATTCTTCTGATGAAAACTTACATTCATTATCAGAAATGTATTGATAATGCCTGTCCTGAAAATAGGCTAATATATAGCACGGAAGGTGAAAAAGGCAGGGATAAAAATGGCACAAAAAAATCAATTTACTCTGAACCCTCAAATATTCAGTTTTCATACAATAATGGATTGTTATTTCAAGTAAACTRAGTTCTTTGGAACATGATCAAGGCTCACTTTTCAGGGTAACTTAAGAAATGATTTCTCCTGCCTAAGAAATCTTGGAACCAGGAATGGTGGTGCACACCTAAAATCCCAGAGACTTGGAAGACGGAGGCAGGAGGATCTCAAGTTCAAGGCCAGACTGGGTAAATTAGCAAGACCCTGCCTCAAAAAAGGGCTCGGTATATAACTCATTGTTGGTCACTAGCAAAAGATCCACTATACTGTAAAATAAACCAATCTATCTTTCTAGAAGCAATGGTTCTCTAAATACAGGTGCATATTTGAATCATCTGATGTAAATTTTAAAAACACAATGATGCCAGGCCCTATCCCAGAATCTCAGGTTAGAGCCCAAGAATCAGTAGGATTTGGGTAAAAATGACCCATATTTTAAAAACACTGCAAAAGCAACCACTGACTATAAAATTCATTTGACAACTACTCAAAAGATGCCTCAGGATTTCTCTTCTGTATCCTTGAAGTATTTTTAAGATGTAATTAAACTAGGCAACTAGAGACCGAAGAAACACCTGTACCTTCTATTTTGAATATCTAAAATATAAATTTCAGAGTGGTGCTCAATATTTTCTTATTTATCCATCTTGCTCTAGGTTCTCTCATTAACCATTTTTAGCAAAATTTATAGCCAAAATGTTGGTTAAAAGGACTATCATATTTTAATTTTGAATGGAAATACATTACACCTATACACTTCCTTACCGTGGCCAGTCAAAGTCATCTGACGATGCTGTATCTCCATCTACTCCACCAGATACATGGAAAAATTTAACAGATGGCTCCCCTTTCTCCTCCTGGAATGACCCTAATAAAATAAGACTGTTATACTAGAATGCATTCATTCTCAAGTGCTAAAAGACCTTTAATAATGCACTATKAACTTCTATAGCATTTATTCATTTGTTCCCACATTCATGTGACATACAACATACGGGACTGAGCAGAAAAATTTTTGATGCTGTTTTGTATTCAGACTAAAATTCTTGGGTTCCAATATTTGATGTATAAGGTATGTATCATGACACAGTAAATATATTACCATATATATTAACAGTAAATGTTATATATTTTATGTATTACTTATATGTAACTATAGTAAACTGTAAATACCACTTACTGGATGCTATTATTTCTTCATAAGTCTATATAACTAATCTACCACTATCAAATAAAAATAAGCATATTTCTTAAATGAAAATTTGTTCCAAGCACGGTAAGAATTACCTCTGTTCAAAATAACTATATTGTTTATGCTTTTTCATTTGATTTTACACCTGAAGAATGGCTTTCTTTCAAAATAGTTTCTTGCCACTGAAGATAAGGAATGATTAGTAACATTTAAAGGTCCTCTAGTGAGGCCTTAATGGATAAATGTTAATTTTAAATATCTCCACAGATACAGAAAACTAGTAAGAACAGGGAAGGAAACTTTTGCAGCCTCTTCCCAGCAAGTGGGAGTGGTTGTAGCAAAAGCAGCAGTCCAGGAACCACAGGCTCAAAGCCCTTCCAGAGCTCTTCATAGGCTGGTTCACTCWAAGTTTACATAGAGTCTATTCATTAGGTGACAAAAACAGAGCAATATAGAAAAACTCAAAACAGGATTTACAAAGAAAAATTACTAGAAATTAGTTCATATAATGATTGAAAATTCAAGTTCTTATGTCAAGATTTGGGTTTGAATCTTAATCCTGCCATTTACTACATGATCTTGAAAGATACCTCCTTCTACATGCACAGATTCCCTCAACTACTTACTTATAAAAACTAGAAAAAATAAGCATATGGTGATTATGATAATTAAAGGGAACAAGATAATATGTAGGAAGTGCTTAGCACAGTACCTAACCATACACTGACACTCTATATATGGGCTAATAAGTRGTAGGTGATTACAAAAAAGTAGGTTAAAGGCCACTTTTATTTTCCTCTGTAGAAAATCAGTACTTGAACAAAGTGATTAAATCATTATGCTTGGTCATTTTTTTTAATCTAACATATTACATATTTGCAAACAATCTTGATGGGAAAAGCTACTGCTACTGTATCTAACATAATATTCTTCAATTCTATTATATTTTGGAGCTCTCACATACTTTTATGATATAAAATTAGTAGCAGTTATTTGTATCTTGTCTCCTAAAGCACTTTCAATCTTACCAGCTAGTTCTCTAAAGGTAAGTTCCAATTTAATTTGTTCTGGGGTTGAGCCTCCTATAAACTCCGTCTTAAATTCTAGATCTGTGAATGCTAAATGAAGGATCTCCTTCTGAAGTGACTTCTTGAACCATGGTCCTCTTTCTTGATCTGACCGAAGATCAGGTATTGGGAAACGAACAGAAAGATTTAATGCTGGAGTGGCAACTTGAACTGATACTCGACAATTTGCAGGATTGTGTGAATCATCTAGAAATACTTCAGTGAAAGCCTTGTGCTAAAACACAAAACATCAAAAAAAATGCCAAAATATTAAATTAAGTAAATTACATTAGCATTCAACATTTCAATATGTACAATAACTAATTCCCCAGTGTAATGAATTAGCATTCAAATCAAATTCACTATCATAGTAATTTAGTATAATGAAATTTTATAATGTAACAATTACTGGCAAAAATTATAACTACTAGCAACAGTTACACCCTGATATAAAAATAAATCAATCAAAATAAAAACTGAACTAAAGACAAGACAAAGACACAATAGGTACATATATACATATTTTATTATAAACTAAAAATAAAAAATGTGTAAATTAGCCTGTCAACAAATCAAATGTAGTTAAAAATCATTATAGTATCCAACATTCAATCTGAAGGATTTACCTACCAACATATTACTTTAAAAATTCAATGTGAGGGGCTGAGGATATAGCTGAGTTGGTAGAATGCTTGCCTAGCATGTACAAGACCCTGGGTTCAATCCCCAGCACCACCMCCCCMMAAAAAAAAATTCAGTATGAACACAGATGAATTATGCCAAATACAAGACCAGTCTCTGACTCATCTTTGTATTTCTAGGACTAAGTCCAGAGCCTAGCACATACAAGGTTCTAAATAAATATCCACTAAATGACTCACCCTGAGTTCCTATACAATCTAACAGTATGATCCCATGAAATGACTACTGGAAAACAAACAGATGTACCACATGCCCCAAACCATGAAACAAAAGGGTCAAAGAATGTGCAATTCACATAAAGGTCCACTTCTAACTTTTCTCTAAAATGTATTAAAAGCAATAAAGGTTTAGTCCACTGTAGGTGGAACAGTCCACTATTTCTTGAATCAGTCTCTAAAGTCTTAAGACTATAAAGTTCCCTTCTTATGTTACACATTGATTTTTAACAAACCTACACTTTCTCTCTTCTATTTGACTTTCTCATACTATCTCTCACTCCAAGGCAAAAGTAATCCAAGATATTAAACCATCATCCCAATACACCTATGAGTAACAGAAAATATAGAGACTAGTCCAAAGAACTTAAAATAACTAGCAACTGGTGACAATAAAAAATGATTCAATGTGAATACTCACCACTAAGGAAAAATAAATAGGAAAATAGAATATTTTGTCCATTTTCTTTTTAATTACAGTTGTCTATGCTGGTCCTAGTCCTACAGCACCCAAATTCCAAATAGATTTCTTACAAATCTGACTTCCTTGATTTGCTTATGAAAGAATCTATACACCACATCTAAGGAATATAATGTGATACTCAATAGATTATTTTCCCAGTTTCAAAAGTATATTCTATATTACTTGGGCTACACTTTTTAGATGTTTGTTTAATGTGTGAACAGGTAAAACTTTGTAATGTTACAAGCAGAGTTTATGAAATTCATAAATTCAGGAAAGGAAATCTAAGTCCTACAACACAATCAAATGCTATCAAATGCCATAACTTCTATTATTTTTTTTTATTTTTTTATTTTTTTGGTATTAGTGATTGAATCTGAGTGCCCTACCACTGTGCTATATTCCCAGGAATCCTAACCCCCACCCTTTGTTTTTAAGACAGGATCTCACTAAATTGCCAAAGCTGCCTCAAACTTGTGACCCCTCAGCCTCCAAAGTAACCAAGATTACAAGTATGCACCTCCACACCTGGATTCTATTAATTCTTTTTCCTGAGCATCCATTTATACTGACATTTTAACGTATGCTATGTAATCTACAGAGAATGCTTAGCTCAGAAATTATCCCAATAAGCCTATTAGCTAATTAAATTATGATTATTTACAACATTTTGAATACTTACCAGACTGATATGCTTATTATATGAAGTATACATGTGAGAGGCCATCATCTCTACTGTAGTAAGTTTCTGTGGTTGAAGCAAGGAATTTAACCGGTCCACAATACTTATATCCAGTTCACAACATACTGGATTTAATTTAATTTGTAAGTCCGCCTTCTGAGGAACTGAACTAAGTCTTGCTTGATTGCCCTTAAAAGGGGGGAGGGAGGAGCATTAATACAATCACTAATAATACTAAAAGATTAGGTTAAGACCTCAAAATTGTGAGAAAATATATACCCCAAAATTTTACATGCAGCACTTAAACAAAAAGATTTCTTACCTGGGGTCCTCTATTCTCAGAATGCTTATAATGAAGTTGAAGACACACAGGGGGGTGGGCATCAGTTCCTTCTTTAGAATGAAATGTTAAAAGCTTAAAAACAAAGAAGATAAATTAAATATTAGATGTTAAGCTATAATTTATCACTGGAATTCAGAGGTGCCAATATACTAGTGGGAAGAGCTATCTGAAGTCAGAAATGCTGGCCTTACTTTTCACTTTTATCACTCACTAGCAATGTAAATCTTAGTCCAGTTAGTTAAATTTTCTTGTTTTGAGACAGGGTCTTGCTAAGTCTCTGAAGGTCTCACTAAATTGCCTACAGCAGCCCATGACTTGCATTGCTGCTTCAATCKCCTGAATTTCAGGACTACTGGCCTGCACCACTACTCGGGCTTCAGTAAGTTAATTTCTGAGATAGTGTCTTATTTGCATAATGCGTATGAGAATTCAAATGAATTAATAAGAAAGAGCTCTGAAAATAAACATATAAGGGCAAAATAACAGCAATAAATATTATTTTTGCCAACATACTTAGATGTTTGAAAAAATCAGATTAATGGTAAAAGAACACAAAACATTATGCTCAACTTGAATAGTATACTTTGGTATTTGTTCAATAAAAAAGTCTTCTGAAATGAAGAATGATTGAAAGTGAGTGAATTCCTCTATGCATTCCTGTTCATTTTTTGAGAAAACTATTTATGATCATACAATTCCTTAAAAGCAAGACAGATTTAAAGTGTAATCCAAAGAAAGTGACCATCATTTACCTCTGTGTAGTGAGGAGGAACAGAATGACAGTCGGTTGGAAACAGACACTCCAAAAGCTCCATTTGTCCAATGGATGTATCAGTACTAAAATACCGGGAAGCTGATCTTTGTCTTTGTTCATAGGCTACTTTGATGCCAGTACCTATAAATCTATTATTAAAAAGATGTAGCATTTAAAGGCCTCTATATACTTCTAGATTAAATGACATATCACAAGTAGTCAGGGAACCATAAACAAATGTTAATAACAGACTAATTACCCACTTATTCTGACAAATTCAAGTTAACAATAGTAATACTCCTAAGATTTATTAACCAAGTCTGCTTTCAATTTCCCATTCCCTGACAAAAAAATAAATTTAACTGASAGAAAATCATCCAGGGTATATTCATTTCCCAACACTGCCCTTCCTTCTCCATACATTTAAAATTTACACTGCAATGGATAAAATCTTTCAGATCTAAAAAATATATGAAATAGTCTCTGAAAATTATCTAGAAGCATCATGAAATATTTTAAAACTTCAGTTGGTGGGGCTCAAATGAAGCCTATCTCTAATTTCTGTGGGTTCTGCTATATTTTCTGATATTTGAAAACGTGTCAAAATTAGAGAAAAAAGCATCTCTACATCTCTATAAATACTACGGTCCTAATTTGTAGGTTATCTTTAGGTAGGGATCAAAACTACTTTACATATTAACTTTAAAACAGTTATGTTAAAATAAAACCCAAAGGTATTTTTCTAAAAAATTAATTATATTTGCCTAAACTATTTATCAAAATAATATCACTCAGGTCATAATCAGTATTTGCATTTTAATAATACTAACAAATTCAATTCATCTATTAGGACTCAATTTATAAAGGATCAGTGTCAATTTGGACAGTTTGGGTTTGTTTTGTTTTTTAAGGTAAGGATGGAAATGTAGCACCCAAGTTAAGGACCAACCCTCATACAACTTCCCATTCCTGCCCAGTGAACATACAGCATTTTAGAATGCCTCCCTCATTAGTTCTCTCATTATTGTCAGCTGTTAATGCCAATGACAATAAGAAATGTTTTAATGATTGTAATACAGTCAACAGGGATGATGGCAAAATACGAGCAAAGAAATTTAGAATTACAGAGATGTTTTAGCAAATTCCAGATTATCTCCATAGTTCTGCATGCCACACAACCTGAATGAAAAATTCTATTCGTAAACATCTTCATAGCATTGCAAGGAAAGTACTCATTCTACTCTTTTACAAATAAATTTTTAAAACAAATACAGATAGCTGGATATGAAAGTCCACACTTGGTTCTTACTCAAAGATCATTAATAAACATGACAAAGTTTACCTGAGGTGATCATGTGAGCAAGCTTCTGCAAATACTGTTCGGAAAGATTTAAAATCATCACATGAAAATCTTGCTGGATCAATCTTTTCTATACAAGTAAAGAAAGCTATAGCCATAGGTGTCAATGGGTTGAGGCTCAATGACGTTTCAGGTGGAGATAAAGGATCAATGTGAAGCACAGAGACTGAAAAAGTTCCAACAGCTAGTCTAAAAATAAGCTCAGGCCTGGATTCATCCATTGAAACAGATCTAGATGGGAGAGCTGAAATACATATGTTAAAATTATACACATAAATTTTAATACTTAAATTCACATATCAAAACTATAAAACATTACTCACGTATTAGGTTTAAAAAACAGCTGACCATACAATAGCTAGAATGACATTAAATAATTAAGGTACAATAAACTGCTAACTTCCTATGTCTTACATCTAGTATACTTGATATTTGAAGTAGAAAAGAGTCCATTAAAATAGTAAATGTATGAAAAATGCTTTTTCATTATTGAAAGTATACTGGAAAAATCAAAATTAATCAAAAGTTGCTAACCAAATTTTCTTTTGAGGTTTGTGTTTATTTCAATTAAATTTTGCAGAATAAGGGTAGAGGTGTACAGGTCAGTGATACAGCACTGGTCTACCATGCATGGGACCCTAACCTTCATCTCCAGCACCACAAAAAATTTTTATATTTGCAGAGTAAAAACTTGAGGTTTTATTTCAAGGAATATATAAACAGTGAAAGAAAAATTAGGAGGMTGGTGACATGGCTCAATGGTAGAGTGTTTGCCTAACATTATGAGGCCCTGGGTTAGATCCTTGACATCAAAAATAAATATATAATAATCAGATGTTGAGGATCCTAAACTTTAATAATAATATGAAACTTACGTGATACTTTTCACTAACAATATCCAAGTATTTAAATACACAAAAGCTATGATGAACGAGCAACTATTCTAAAACACTTCACAGGGAATTGTTSAACAATTCATTTTCTTTCTAAACTTTGTTAAATGGCCTAAACCAAAAAAAGACCAAAAAAAAAAAAAAAACCCAAAAGACAGATGTAAGTGGAGTACATGCTTAACATATACAAGGCTGAGTTCAAATCCAGCACCAAAAATTTTTTTAAATAAAATTGACATTTAAAAAAAAATAAAGTAGAATGACTAAAAAGAATTTTTTAATTTTTAATATTTCAAAAGTTCCAGGAGGGCTGGGGTTGTAGCTCAGTGGTAGAATGCTTGCCTTGCACACTTRAGGCCCTGGGTTTGATCCTCAGCACCACATAAAAATAAATAAATAAAAATAAAGATATGTGTCTATTTACAACTAAAAAAAAAGTTCCAGTGGAAACAAAGATTAACTCTCTTCCACTCACCAGCCTTCTGCAAAGATGTCTGGTGAACCAGGTTGGATGGAAATGCTGACCCCCTCACTGGCTGTTCTTTATGATGATCAAGGAACTCTCCCCATGTTGGCTGAAGCTATGAAAGATATTTTTTTAAAGAATATGAATAAAGTCCAAAATTTTAGAAGTAACTTTTTAAGAATAAAATAATAAAATAATACTTTACCACAGTAGCACTTAATGGAGATCCTGCTGGGGTATTAGTGTATGTACTAGTTAGTGATAACTCCAGGTCCATATTTGGGGGATCCCCAAGGGGTGGAAGAGAAGAGAGACTATGGGACATGTCCATATCAGCCATGGAGAAGAAAACTTCTTCTTCTGGAGAGAATTAAACTTCATCACTTATAGCACAATTTTACCCACTTTGTATACTTTAAAGTGGGCTAATATACATTAATATAATCTTCTTCTGAAATACTGATATACAGTGATACTCCAAAATGTATATTACTTCCAATGGGGTATTTGAATCCAAGTTATTAATGGCATAGCCAAAACTCAATTGAATATTARTTAACGAAAGGTTATGCTTTCCTACTGAGTGGTTTTGTGAAGCTTTGTTTTGTTTGTTTTGTTGTTTTTAATACCCAGTATTTTACAAGGTATATTTTTAAAACATCATATGACAATTTAGAAGTTAAAAAAAAAATCTACATGTTAAAATGTCATTAGCATACACAAGACCCTGGGTTCAATCTCCAGCATAAATAAATAGTATAAATATATTGCCTTCTCTTTTCATATGTATATAGCTATTTCCTTTTWAAAAAAAAAAGAATCAAATATATTATTGAGACTTCTATTTATGTTTCACTTCCATCTTTTGGAGATTGTTGTACCCTTATGCAAATAAAGGTAGTYATGGCCAAAATTTAAGAAGGCTTTAATTTTTATTCGGTTCAACATTCCATACTTTATTAATTCTTACTATTTATGGTATTAGTGCTCATATATTCTAAAACACCTGTAAATGTAAAGTAAACTGGGTAATGATGATACTTAGATATAATTAATGGAAAAATTAATAAAGTTTCCTATTTAAAGAAATCTACTGTATATCATTATGTGAGCACATAATTTGACAAAAATGTATAATTACTCCCAATTTATCTTTTGTGTAAATCTACACTTTTATAAACTGACTTTACTCAAAAACATCATTTACAAGAAAAAAMCAAAATAAAAAAATAGCAACCATGTGCTGGCACATCACTATTAATACTATGGTTAGATAAACTTAAAAATTAAAATTTTCTTAATGATATGGGTCTTTTGTTATTTCACTGCTAAACTCCTTTCACAAAAGCCAAAATTAAGTTTAATTTTACCTATGATGATAAAGTATGATTCTGGTGTCAACTGAGTTGCTTACCACGGCTAGAAGGTGTACGAGCCGTTTCTGTCTCATAAAAGCTTTGCTCTGAAGACACACCCACAGAAAGGGAATCTTTTCTCAAATAATACCGGTTTAATTCCATCTGAATTCGATACTCGTCTTCCTGCTGCATGGGTCGGTTTTTCCTATCTTTATTAGCTAACCCTATTTTGCTAGAATTTTCTACAAGTATACAAAAGGAAAGCAGAACAGTAATTAAATTCAAGGTTAAGTTATTTAAAGCATTTCTCTCCCAAATCCCATTTATCCAATACCAATGGCAACTTAAGACCATAAGGCAGTGCAAAACACCACTATTCAATATTTTTTTTTTAAAAAAAGAGAGAGTGAGAGCGGGGAGAGGGAGAGAGAGAGAGGGAGGGAGGGGGAGGGAGGGAGGGAGGGAGAGAGAGAGAGAGAGAGAGAGAGAGAGAGAGTGAGAGAGAGAGAGAGAATTTTTTTAATATTTATTTATTAGTTCTCGGCGGACACAACATCTTTGTTGGTATGTGGTGCTGAGGATCGAACCCGGGCTGCACGCATGCCAGGCGAGCACGCTACCGCTTGAGCCACATCCCCAGCCCCCACCACTATTCAATATTAATCAGAAATCTAAATAACAGTTGTAGGCAACAAACCAGGAATCAAAAAATCTTACCTCTAGTATATATTAGTTATAAAAAATACTTTAACATGTATGCTACTTACTGTGTTCAAGAATTACATTTTCTTCTTTGTATGAAGTACTATCCCAACCAAAGAAATCAGTCAGAACAATTTTGAAACAAGAATGTGACACATTCTGAATGCAAATATATGCCATGCTGGCACAATTCAAAAAGACACAATCAAATTAACTCTTTAGGACATGATACATTGTTAATTTTCAATATGTTTAATTTCATATATTCAAAATAATAAACTTTCTTAGGTGTATGTTATATATTTCAATTTAAAAGTTTCAGAGAACTAAAAATAATAACAACAAAATTATACTTGCCTGGTCCAGCAATAGCTGCTAACATATCCAAAAGCAAGTGTACCTGTCTTGGTGACAGGAATAGATGAATAGAGTCTATCTGTCCATCAACATCCAACTTAAAAAAATAAACAAACAAACCATTCAGGATGAATACTTTCAAAACCTCATCACCATAAATTTCAGTAATATTTCAAGCACTGAGAGAAATATTTACTGCTAATCTTGAATTCCTTTACCTAAGAGTCTCTCTACTAATTCACACAAACCTAAAGGAAAAGACCTCAAGGTCACCAAGCAGTGTGCCTCTCAGATAGATGTCTACTGTGTTCCAATGTCCATCCTCTCTTGGACATAAAAACAATAATTATCATTATCATTTATTTTGAGCATTGGTGCCTTTGTATATATTTTCTCTACTTACTACTGTTTRTTTTACAGAGGAGGAAACAGGTTCACAAGATTAAGTGACTTGCAGAGCAAGATTTTAATGGAGGCTGACYCAGATAAAGAGCCCTCTCTCCTTTCATGGCATGACTCCCCCTACTACACACAGACTGTTTTAGGGGGCTCCTTACTGACTGTTGACACTCTAAGCCATGCCCTTGATTAAGGCTAGGGAGAGTAGCAAAACATACTTCTGATTATAGGCCAAATTCTTTAATGGTTTTTTAATATTTTCTTTGCATTGAAAGTATAATCTCTGATCTTTATTAGAATAGATAATCAAGAGTTGGGATTCTAATTTTTGTAAAAATATTTTGTTATTAATAGATTCTGGGAGCTGGGGTTGTGGATCAGCGGTAGAGCGCTTGCCTCACATATGTGAAGCATTGTGTTTGATCCTCAGCACCACATAAAAATAAACAAACAAAGGTATTTTAACAAAAAAAAATAGATTCTGAATTTGGCATAGAAAAGACAAAGTACTTATTACTTTTGGAAATATAAAATAACCAAAAAATTTTTCAACTCAGTGTAACACAGTAGCTAAAACAAAATCTCTCTAAATCAATCCAGGCAGTCCTCTACTTTCATATATAATGCATTGCTGAAAACATACACTAAGATTGGAAATATRAAATATCAGACTTACTACTTGAGTGTATACTATTCTTGCAGAACTAAAAAAAAATRGCATGAAACCTTTTTTTGTGTGTGATTAATTTCTTTTAGTTGTCAGTGGACCTAAATTGAACCCTGTGACTCACAAATACTTGGCAAGTGCCCCAACACTGAGCCACAACCCCAACCCATGAAACCTTTCTTAACATTTTGAATGCACAGTTAAAAAGTTTAAGTTTAATGAACACTGGAAAGAGACTAAAGACCTAATACTTTGAGCACATCTTGTAAAGCTACCCCTTGTCTACTCTGTATTAAGGTTATAAGATCTATGCTTCTCAATGCTAATTTCCAGAACTCTTTTTTTCCCATTTAGCACTCATTTTCATTAAATAAACACAAAATGTATTTCACGTACCCAGTTTATTACACAAAAGTTATTAAAGAGACAAGGATTATAGTATCTCTAATACCAAATATTTGCTGGTACACAATGCTGCCACACAAAATTTCCAGGTGTCCATTTGTCACCTAATACACAAACTCTAAAAGTATCATATGACAAAAACTTATACATATCAATACATAATATTAAAAACTTTGGGTGTGTACAAAAATCAAAAACATAAATATTGAGAATTATATATATTTGATCAAAATTGAACTGTAAAAGTTATTGTTATAGTTTTTCCTTCTTAAAGAAATGATAAATACATTCCCTAAAGACACTGATGTGCTGGTATCCCAAGGATATTGCCACAGCAGGGGAGCTCCCATGGGGCTTACACACACCTGCAATTATCCACTCCCTAAGGAGCCTCTCATGTTATTTCAGGAAGACAGTTGAAAACCTAGTGAAAGAATTTTATACCATCTTGAGGTAGGACAAGTCAGTAAACAAGGAAGAGAACAATAATCAGAAATAGAACTGTCTTCATTCTAATTCTAGATTTCCTCCTCCAACATGAGTCAAACATCCCAATCCAAGAAAAGATTTGAGGATTCCTCAATACACTGAAAATTTTTCTATGTATATTTACAAGCATTCAGTGTGTCCCTCTTCTATATTCCCATAGTAATATCCATACCCCTTAGTGTATCTTTCATTGTCTTTATACAATGTCTTCAAAAAGCTACAAAAAATAATAAGTGAATATCTTTTCATAAATATTGCACAAATATTGCACAACTATAAAAAGTCATTCCATTCAAAATATGGATGGACATTTCTASAGTCAACTTGCTTTTCAAATCTCTTTTCCTTTTTAACATCTTAATTTTATGACAATAGAAAGACACTATTATATAATTAAATCTAGTTATCTTAATCAATGAAACCATGCTTTTGGTTTTGGACTGTTAGAACGGGAAGAGTGAGTGTAGGAGGCAACTCTTCATAAAACCTGACTTGCATAAGAGTAAGGCCAAGTCAGTCCTCACTTTAATTTTGTGACCCCAAATACCAGGTCCAAGTGAGAATAAAATGCTGATTCCAAAACTGCAGATAGATACCTTTGTTACAGGGTAATCTACAGTAACCAACCAGAGGCTCAGTGTATAGATTAAAGAATACTTTTAATTTTATTAGAGAAAATAAACACTGACCTTAGCTCCAGGAAGTACTTCATTCTGTTTCAACGTGAGACTCAACTCCAACCTACCAATTAATCCACCAATCTGCACTGGGTCAGAGGGCGCTATCTCTGGTAAATTTCTAGTTAGTTGTGGGTGCGGCTCATAAACAATTTTGGGGTTCCAGCTAGGTGACAGCTTTGGCTCATTTTCCTAAAATAATRCAATAAGAATAAAGGAACTATTTAAAAAGCTTAGTGTAAATAAACTGGAATGCAAAAAAAAAATGTCAACTTAAGAATAAAATATTTGGCATGCAAAACTATATTGTTACAATGGATAAACTATATCTGGTAGCTAAAATAAAACAGTACTACATTGGGCTAGTAATGAAAACACAACATGGAAAGGACTTCATGAAGAAAGCATAATATCTGCTCAATTTAGTAAGAAAACCTAACAGACACTATAATTAAGAATACCCAATTTGGGAAATAATGTAAAGGGTAAATAATGGATTGACTGATATATAAAGATTTTTTACTCTTGGAAGAAATTAACAGAGTTCCTTAATTGCACAGATTTTTTTTAAAGGCAGAATTTGTAAGATAAATTTTCAGCAATATGTTCATTCTGTGAGATAAATTTGAATATTGCTTAATTTCCAGTTTATACTGTAAAAGGATTATATACTAATGAGCCATTCTGCCCCAATAATTCTGCCAACATTTCTCTGTCAAACTAACACATAGCAACTAGCTTAAAAAAAAGTATGGGGGGGGGCATTAATTAAAAGTACAAGTATATTTAAATATCTGAAATACATGTTGCCATATTGAATATTTGTGTTAACTTGCAAATCAGATGAAGACTTAGCCCATACTATATATTCTAGAAAAATTTAACAGTCCTCATTTAAACCTTTGAGAAATCTATGATCAAGTTTAGGATTGTTCTGTTTCTCTTACCACTGGTGCAGTCGAACACACTGGGGAAGATTTTGCTGATGCAGAAAACTCATCCCAAAAGAGAGACACTCCAGAGAGCTGAAGTAACTTGTGAGCAAAAGCTGTGGGCTGATGTACATTAATTCCTGAGGATTCATCAGCAGTTTCATCGCAGTATACAGTTCTAAAAATTAAAAACAAAAAGATTATTAGAACAAAACTCCTGGGACAACTTATTTGCAATAATAAAAAAATGGAAAGCTTTTAAGTTAAAGAGACTTTTCAGGTGTTAGCATTTCTTAGAATGTACTTATAATAATGCCTATAAAATAGGTCAGAATGATCACACTTCAGTAAATATTTCCCAGAGACCTTAAACTCCAAGAAAAATAACTTTATAAGACTCTTAAATTGAAGGAAAAAAATTAATAACTTCCTAAAGTTAGCTTCAAGGAAAACAATTCCTGTACTCCTTCCCAAAATCTCTTGGTAACAGTGAGACGGCATTTGGCTTCAAGTCACAAGTCTGAAAATGACATTTCTTAAATTCTTGTGTGACCAATCTTCATTTTAAATAAGATAAAGTATGTGGTTCCAAATGCATGAGATGTTACAAACAGTTTTAATATGCCATCTAAGGCAATGCCCCCTATTTTCAAAGATCATTAACAATAATTGTTTAACAACAGATGTATTTTTGAGAAAAACAGAAACCATAGTRCATCTCTTTAAACCCTGGAAAAGGACCCCAATAGATAAATATATAAAGGGTCTTTGGGGCCAGGAGGCTTGGCACACACCTGTAATTCCAGTGGCTCAGGAGGCTGARGCAGGAGGATAGAGTTCAAAGCAAACCTCAACAACTTAGTGAAGCCCTAAGCAAATCAACGAGGCCCTGTCTCTAAATAAAACATAAAAGGAGCTGGGGATATGGCTCAGTGGTTAAGTTATCTGAGTTCAATCCCCAGTACAAAAAAAAAAGTGTCTTTGGGGCTTGGTGTACATACCTCATCCTGCTCATTTCTCTTAGCAAGGTGTACAGCACCAACACTGGTGAAGATATGACTTCACATCAACACTCAGATGTACATATGTAAATAAATCTGCTTTCAAGCTTTTATAGGGGTGCTACCAAGTGGGTACACAGAAAATTAAAAGCAACATGTTTATATCTTTTTAAGTAAATCAATATTACAGATATTTGCCTGAAACTAATGCTTATAGAATTCTCCAAAGAAACAGTGCCTTCCTTCCCCCTCTCTCAATCAAGCAGCACTAAGATTAAGCACAGCAAAGCCAGTCCTTCACATTAATGAAACCCACCTACATATTGCATTGCTCCACAAAAAAAACGCAAACTCACAAGACAGCCTGAAATTTAGTAGCACTCCAATACTTGTAGCTTTGATTTGGTAACTAAAAGAAAACTACTTGCTTTAAATTTAACATAGTAATTTCAATAATGGAATTAGAATATAACTTGGAGAACAGCACTTTACTCCAATGTTATGTAGTATTTTAATTTAATATCATCACTTCTAGTCTCCAAAAGCATCCTGAATTTATTTTTTTAATTTTTGAAGTATTAGGAATTGAACCAAGGGACTCACACATGCTAGATAAGCTCTCTTCCACTGAGTTCTCTTCCACTGAGCCACATTCCCAGCCCAGCATTTTGAAATGTAATGTGAGAGTTAGAATACAGTTATTTTCAAATTCTTAAAAATTCTTACCTTTCTATTCGAACTTCAAGGGCTGTTCCAGTTTTGGAATTTTCTGGCACATGTTCAATTCTCAAAACAGTGTCTATAAAAGTGACTTTTACTCTTCTTAGTACTAGAATAAACAATTAATCATTAATGGAAGAACCATATTATCTACTAAATAAAAAGTTCTAATAAAAGAAAAAGTATTTGTTTGATAACAACTTACAAAATAAAAAAGCCAGATTTCTTTCCATTAAAAGTCCCAAATTCTGAGTTTTAAAATAGATATTACACTTACTGAACACGTACCCAAGCTACGTATCTAAGTATACTTAGAACAGTCACTAACACTGTCTGTTGAACTCAATCACATCATTTTGCAAATGTAATAAATCAAACAAATGAGAGACTAGGGAAATAATTGCAATTAAATGAAATAACCCCAATTGTAAAGTTCTGAAATGAGAACATTAATTCTTTTAAAAAACACTCCAAGAGGGCTGCCTAACACAAGACTTAAGTTATTAAGGTACTAAATTGCTAAATAAAATTTGAATTTTTAGAGATGATCAATAATGTCAAACCTGTTTCGATGGTTTCTGCAAATTTTTCAAGCCCTTCAAAAGGCTGGGATCCTTCTCCTTGTTCATCTGTTAATTTTTGGCTAAGACATTCTTTTGCCAGTTGCATACTGCTGGTCATGAAACTTGACCAATACATAGGCTCAGAACCAGTTGCTACAGAAAATAAAGATTAATCCATAATTTCTCAAAATTTCAACAATGCCATTTCTTTGAATTTCCCACTTTTTTATTGCTGTATTATAGTTGTACATAATGATGAGATTTGTTGCTACATATCTGTACATGCATACAGTGTAACAATACAATTTGATCAATGCCATACCTACCCTAATACTTCCCCCTCCCCCATTTCTTAAAATTAACATATTTCAAGTAGATTTATTATTAATATATAGTTATTAAGTTTGCATTTATGACACTTATTTTAAAGTCAATTAATGAGTTCAGGGAGGCTTCGAAAAAACAATCATTTTTTTCTAGTTCTGATGTATTGTGCAGATCTGTTATTATAGCCTCAATTCAAATAGATTTTTAACACTAGGGTATTACACAGGGAAACAATATTCTAGAAATTACTCTTAAGATTTAAATACCACCTTAAAAAAGCAGATCACATGAAAAATTCCAGCGATATGTGATTTCACTATATATTTTACTTTTAGAAAATATTAATTCATACACTCATTCAACAAGAATTATTTTTGTATATGTATGTTACTGTTCTAAATACTACACAGCAGGGTTCAATGAACTTTCTCTTTTTTTTTGTTTTTTGTTTTTTGTTTTTGTTTTTGGAGATTACTTGGGGTGATTTAGATTTTATTTGAGATAGGGTCTCAAGTTGCTGAGGCTGGCCTCTTCTGCCTGAGCTTCCTAGTGCTGGAATTACAGGTGTGTACCACTACACCCAGCGAGAGGCAATTAATTTTCTCTAAAGGGTGAGATATTGAATATTTTAGGCTTTGTGGGCAATATGTTCTCTATCACAACTCTCCTACAATAGTGCTAAAGTAGAAAGTAAATTAAAAAAGCATGGCTGTGTTTCCATAAAATTTTATTTATAAAAACAGTTAACAAGCTGGGATCAGTGGTGCAYACCTGTTATCCCAGTGGCTCCGGAGGCTGAGAGAGGAAAATTGCAAGTTCAAAGCCAGCCTAAGCAACGGAGAGGTGCTAAGCAACTCAGTGTGACCCTGTCTCTAAATAAAATACAAAAATAGGGCTGGGGATGTGGCTCAGTGGTCAAGTGTCCCCAAGTTCAATCCCCAGTACCAAAAAAAAAAAAAAAAAAAAAAAGGTAACAGGCTTGATTTATCTTGTAGGCCAGAGTTTGCTAAACTGCTATAGAGCATAGAAAAATGAATTATGAATTGCCCTCGGAATGCTTACAAGTAGTAGAAGAAATACAGCATAGCTAGGAAGAATTAATAGAAGACTACTGAGAGTCAAATGAAAACATCATAAAAGCCAAGAGAAGAATCATCTCCTAGCTGAGGAGATCAACAGGAAATCTGGCAGAGGTGGCAGATGATATAACTTTGGAAATTAGCATAAGTGTAGGTAATACAAAGGAACATCTTTTGTGGAGAAAACAAATGAACTGTAAAATATTCTTTCCAGATTTTCCCTCCTAAGAAAATTCCATCATACCTCCTTAGGTATTCAAAATAAATGAAGACTACTAGAAAAATTACTGCTTTCCAAAATGGAATTTATAAGTCCTCTTAATGGAATATTTTAAAAGGAAAAAATATTTCAAAGTTTGACTTTTCATAGGGAAGTATTATATATACCCATCATAGTTAAAATAGAGAATACTCTGATAAATTAAATATCAGATTATTAAAGAGGATATCCATGATTATACTATCAATTTTCAAAATACAGAACACTATAATTCTACTAAGCAAAATTTAAACTTTGGAGTTTCATACGTTATAGGATTAAAATTTTTATCACTGCATACTTTTCCTCTAAATTTATCAATCCTATTTTTTTTTCTACATTTATAAGTAGACATTCTCAAGAAGAGCATTCCCTTCTCCCTGCTCACCTTATTTATATCAGAATAGCTTTGAGTACTCTTCCTTGTTAAGTGGCAATACTTTGAATCTTTAAAACTTTAGATAATAAGTAACAAATAATTACATAAACCAAAGTATATGTACACTGAAGTTCCTGTGAGTAAACGGAAAGAAACAACTCTTAGAATTTTCATCACACACATCCTACAAAGAACCAAATCCTAATATTTTATCAACTGAAATTTTTACAAACACAATGAAAATCAATAAATCAATCAGGCTACTTTCTCAATCTCTGTAGGGTAAAAATAGAAGCAAATAAAACAGGAACATATAACAACCTACCTAGACGAGGTCTAGGTCGGAAGACCATTTCTAACCCTTTTACTTCCAGTGCACAATTGTCCTGTAGCAAGGAGCCCCACGGAACTGACAGAGAAATCGACTGAATAAATCCTTCGGTGAYTTCTAAAGGTGCATCTGCTGACTCCAGGATTTCATTGAGACACTAAAGAGAAAAACCAAATTCATTTTGAAATCACACAAAGAACATAAAATTAACTTTTTCAAGATATGAATATGCCCATACCTGTGAATAAGCACAGAAAAGAAAGCAGAGACCAAGATAAAAGGTGATTTGGTTTTCATTAAGATGTATACAACATACAAGAAACTTTGTTAAAGAATGACGAGTTGCATGACAGAGGAAACAGATGGCTCTTTTAAGCACATGACAGAAGCTAACCTGGAGCTAACTAACAGCAGACCTCCAGAGAAAGTTTGATTTTTAAGCTTAGACCAGAGGCTCAAAGTTAACCAGCAAATTAACACATGCAGAGGCAACTGTATGTAGAAGCAGGGCCAGTAATATATTTTCTGGTCTTTCCTATCTTATGCTTTTATTTATTTTGACACGACAATCCCAGTAACTCCGAAAACTAAATTATATTGCTACTGTAAAATTTCTCAGTTCTTATTTATTATATCAGTATTTCTCAAGTTTATATCTATTTTAAAAATTTAGAATGAAATTTATGCTGGGGTGTACTGAATTCTAGGTTTAAGTGTATTCAACTAAGGATACATGAAATAATTAGAGTATAGGGAGAAACAACCCATCCATATTCATTTTGAAGGTTATCTAAGCATGAGGCTATAGATAGTTCAGCCAATGGTGTACACTAAGCATAAGAACACATTACCATAACAGGTGAGTGTCTCATCAGAAAATATATCAATTATATCTTCAAGGAGTGTCTCATCAGAAAATAAATAGGAAATTTAGTTCTAATAAGTTTTTAATTATCAAAATGTATAATACATTTATATTGTTTTGACCAACTGTACACTTATAGTAATTATAATAACAACTGAATCCAGAGGAAAAATCTTAGCACTTAAAAGCCTAATGATTATTGAAGAAGGTATTGATRAGGTGAATATGGTAAGCTGTAGAATTACCACTAATTTAAAAATGATGATGAGATCACTCAAGGAATTGAAATGTTATACTAGAAAGTATTCATATGATACAAAAGAAATAATAACAGGCTGGGTGCCATGGCGCACACCCCTATAATGCCAGTGGCTTGGGAGGCTGAGGCAGGAAGGAGGATCGCAAGGTGGATGTGGCTCATGGTAAAGCACTCCTGGGTTCAATCCCCAGTACCAAAAGAAAAAAATTTTAAAAAGAAATAATAACAAGAAACTTCTAATTATGATTAATTTCAATTTGTACCTTTTTATTATAAAGAAATATGGAAGCATGATCAATAAATCTTAAGCATAAAATATACAAATTATAACAATTCTAGAGAGGAAAATGGAAATATGAAGTTAATGAAAAAAAGATATGTTAAAATTCCAACTATTAATGAAAAGTTTGTTTGAGCACTTTTATTTACTTACTTATTTAGGTACCAGGGATTGAACCGAGGGGCATGTAACTACTCAGCCATATCCAGTCTTTTTTTTCTTTTTTTTTTTTTTTTTTGAGACAGGGTCCCAACTAAATTGTTGTGCTGGCCTGGAACTTGCAACCCTCCTGCCTCAGCCTCCCAAGCCACTGGGATTATAGGCATGTATTACCATTCTAGGCTTTGACACTTTTAAGTGGCTAAGGGGTAGAAATTGAGACCCTACTGGT